GGGGTGGTGGGGTGTGGCTGTGGGTCTGGATGTGGGTGTGAGTGGGGGTGTGGGTGTGGATGTCGTTGTAGACTCACAGGATACTCACACCCACACCCACACCCACACCCACCCACACCCCCACACCCACACCCTCATGCTGAATAATTGCTTGAAATAATGTTACTTCAAAGTTGCTTGCATGAAATAATAAATAAATTTTTACTGGACAATTTGAACCACGTTTAAAGCTGCATTTATAATATTTTTTGGTTCCTTGCTCTGTATCATTAATTTTACAGCAAATCCATTTGAAATTATTATATTTAACAGCCTCCTCTTCAACACATTTGCCAATCAGAGAAGACTTTCACTTTTTCATATGATAAGCTGGATGCTCTCATCTTCTTAGCTGAGTTAATAATATCACCCTCATCATCATCGTCATCTATTGCTTCTTCTCTGTAAGCTGGTACAACAGAGTCTATTGAATCTGTTTTATCATCATCTGATAATGCTTCTGCCATTTTTTAAATGGTATATTTTTTTATATTTTTTAAACTAACTTTTTTCTTATCACTTATCGTCATTCCTAGCTCATATATACTCTTTCAATTAATTGATAAGTACTAATCAATTATAGATTACGTTCAAATTAATTAGAGTAACTCGATAAATTGATTGATAGCCATTTGTTAAAAGCCATCATATATTAAATTAAAAGACAGAACATTTTTTAATTCAGAAATTTAATTGATTTAAAAGGTGTTTAATTAAAAAATTAGATTAAACAATTTTTTTAATAGTATTCTTTCACCGGAATAGATACTACTGTATTAAGTTAGGAAATATTAATACAATTTAGATACAGATTGCTATATTTTTAGGTATTATATTAAATGCATGTCTTATATAAAGAAAGGTACGAAAGTCACACAGTATTAGACGATAGTTGAACTTTTTTTCAGTCGTCGTTATTGCCACGTATCAAAGTATTGACATTATATTCATCGAAAAAAACATGCATCAAGTTACTCAATGGTTTCGACAGGTATAAAATAATTCATGTGCTCTGTCTGCTTGTCGTTTGCTCGCTGGATCGATTTTTTTCCTCCGTTCCTGTGTAGTCATTCAGGCAAAATCGACGAAAATCGACGATTTGCGCTGCGCGTACCGATAATTATCAAAAAGTCGTATTTTTTTTTCGTTCTCTTTCTTTTCTCATTTTGCTTTGTCCATTCAACCTAATAGACGGTGTCTTTATCTTGTTGCACACTTACGTGACAATTGTACCCAGAGAAAAACAAAACTCGATGACCATGCCCCAGATGACCAACGACGAATATATCCAGCAAAAATTTGATAAAATAGACAAAGGTTTGTTTTACTTTACGTCGCCTTCTTTCTCAGAAATGTACCCATCACATAAATGGTAAATGCACCCTCTTCTATAATGAAGTAGGGTATTTTTCGTTTGTTTGAAAAAAAAGTTCGATTTATCCTTCATTTGAATTAGTGATATGAAATATTTACTACATATCTGCCTAGATAAGACGGGTAAAATATGTGCGGCCGACTTTCGACAAGCTATGCTGGGTGATTATCATCTTAAAGTTTTTCGTACTACAACAATCGATGCCTACATTGCCGAATTGAGTAATCATACGGGATGGATTACATTCGAACAATTCAAACAGTTTATACGAATGGATACAAATACGTTCAAGAATTCTCTGTTTACTATTGAACTCAAACAGGCATTCGATGAAGTTGATACCAATAAGGATGGCTTTATATCGTCACAGGAAGCACGTCAAGGTATTACTTTAGCTGGTCAATACATATCAGGATTAACTTTTAAACAAATTATTCAAATGTTTGATGATGATGACGATGGACAAATGTCGTTTGAAGAATTCTTGAATAATATTAAAAAATAAGATATCAATAAATTGACAATCGACCAGCAGTGTCCAAGGACTGAGAAATAGGAATTCTTAATATACCGAGGAACTGTCAGGACTGCTGTGATAATTCCTAGAGGAAATGGGGATCGACCATTGGTTTCCTCACAGTTTCACCATTCACGAAAATCGCGATATTGCTTTTTTAAAAATAATTTGTGCACGGAACTATTAGTTCTCACAATTTTGCAGATGAAAATGAGTGTAAGAACAAAAATTATCTTGAATATTCCATATTTTTATCTTTAGTATGCAAGGAACTGTAGGGGAACTGAGGAGGAATTCCTAATTCTCAGTCCTTGAACATCCCTCAAAAACGTACGGAAATAATAGTAATAAGCAGAAAAACAAAGACTGTAACATCATTACTGTGGAACTCAGATGCAGATACGACTAACCGAGCGGTTGGTTTGACAATTATAGAGTTCGAAAAAATAAAGAATGACTCATGTTGGTAAACTGGTAGGCATGGTTCAGTCTAATCATTTCTCTTGCTATTGATAAGAAAAAAAGAATTCTATCGGTTCTAAGTCTACTGGCAACAGTTCTCAGTAATGATCACTTGTTATTGAATTACAAAACACAATTTCATCCATTGATTCTTCTGCATGAAAAACATCTTGTGTGGTCGATAGAACGATTCACAATCGTGCAGAAATCCGATGCTAAACGATACACTGTTAGCAGCTCTCATATATGAGTTCAAGTCATTATTTTTTCGTTTACTCATGAAACGGAAATTACGACATATAAGTGTAATGCACGGGTGTATGCAAATATCAATGTATATTCTCTCATTTTAACAACATAAAATCCAAAGGAAAGAAAAAAAGGAGAAAAAAGTTGAAAAAATAACACATGTGGTGACGAATGCTTTCATGAAAAATCCTACCTGCCTTATCAATATGTCATGCTTCATCGATTCACGTAAATATGTGTAGAATAAGGAAAAAAGAAAGCAATTTTGTACACGGTGCAGGCGAAGCTAAATCGATTACAAACAGACGAAACAAAACTTGCACACTCCTGTATCATTCAACACGTAAGTGTATTTAATTTCGAATATTATTAGACTAATGATAAAATTAACTGTTTAAAGCTACGAGCATCGAGGTCAAACAATTTTACTATAAGATTGTGTTTGATTCTTACACGGATCATACAGGAACTTATTGTACGATTTTACATGTCAACCTTAAAGCCAACATTTCTGATAAAATCGTACAGTATTATTCTTGTATAATGTTTTTGTAAGATCTTGTAATATTTATTCCAGCTTTTACGGAATCTTCCAACACATTTTGTAGTTGAGGTTTTGGCTTTATAGTTTCCTCTCCTTTCCCGGTGTCCACTAGACCATCATCCCATTTTCCCTTCTTCCAGCCCTTCTCTCCTCAAAAAAAGCAAGGAAACTATGTACTCATTTGAATTAAAACTTATCATTGACCGTGTTGTTGACTTCAATCTAAATAAAAAAATATTTATATAATAAAATTTATACTTTTCTACTGATGATGCTATTTAACATTAGCTAAACAAAAAAAATTATTTATTTAATGATATTTATATTTTTATATTTACCTTTCGACGACGTTGTTCAGATTAATCTAAATAAACAAAAAAAATATTATTTATTTAAATAATCAGAATCCTTTCTTATTTATGACTGATGTAATATTAAATGGTGGGCCTTTTTCAAAAAAAATTTCGTTGGAAAGGATGAAAACTGAAGGGTTCACTGCACATTATTATACGATGATTGATTTAAGATAAAGAATACTACTGTAACGGTGCAGTTTATATGCCTATGATGTATAACGAAAATTCATCTTTACACATTCCTATGTAGAGGCACAACTCATGGTTTAGCACTATCTCATGCTAGGAAATTCATTTTACTTTGAAAACTACATAAAAATGATGTATATATGCTTGTGGTTCGTTTGGATTGGGTCATTTCACTCATCTAAATTACTGTTAATTATTCGTTGATACTTCATTGAATAATTTGAATATTAGCATTGAAAACTAGTGTCATTAGGTAGTTGTTTTCATTTATCTTTCATTTGTACAATATATTTAAAATAAAGCGTTAGCTAGCTCACAATTATGTAAGTGGAAATAAAGATGAAAAAAAAATGATATAGAGAATCAGATGATGTTATTGGTATCGTTGCTACTCTTGTCTTCACTCACACGAACTCCACTTTCACGGCTTCAACTACACTCACACCCAGATCTTTCCTAAGCCAATAGAACCTAGTTGAACCTACTCCAAAATATAAATATCATTTCTAGATTCATCTTATATTATAGTAAATTTTCTGCGTTTATTTTTCAAACCATTGAATTAAATCTTCGTGAAATATTTGCTAGTTCTATTCGACTAGGGTTTCAGAGAAAAGGATCGATTTTGATTAAGACAATTCTTAATCACGTAGAACTCTACTATATATATCACTTACCTTAACAAGATTTCACATTCCATCAATTTTTCTACTTCTCGTTGTGAATTGATTGTAGAGTATGTGGATTTAGGTGTAATTGTTCTCACTACCTACACTCCATACTCTTTTCAGCTATTGAATAGCATTGATTCATTGGTTCATTCTTTCAGTATTCAAAGTTCTTGATTACATACAAGATGGGCAATAAGACATCGCCGATAGCCAACACTGTCAGCGTTGTAAAAGACAAAACTAAAGAGAGGGCATCAGCAACTTCGAATCGGGTCACCGATACAACTAATGCCAATGATATTGCCACTTCATCGTCACCATTTCAATCACAGCGCATAGGAACTGTGCAAAATTTTGTTCTGGTCTGGCTCGACGCAAAGATCGACGATACCAATAGAGATTGTCAAAATTCTGTCATGCAGTTTCGAAATATTTTCGATACATTAGCACAATTTACCGATGCTGACGAATGCCTCGACTATTTGACAAGTATCGAGGATGGCAAAATCTTTTTAATCGTCTCTGGGAGCTTTGGTGAAAATATTGTACCTCTTATACATGATATGGCTCAACTTGATGCCATCTTTATTTTCTGTAGAAACAAAGATCGACATAAAAAATGGGCAAACAACTGGCCAAAAGTTCAAGATGTATTCACCTCAATCAAGCCCATCTGTGAGTCATTGAAAAAAGTCGTCTATAAATATGACCATGATACAATTCCGATGAGCTTCGTTTCAAAGCAGATGATGGCAGCAGCAACAGCATCAGATCAACAAAATCTCGACCAACTGGAACCGTGCTTTATGTATTCGTTACTATTCAAAGAAATTCTGTCAGAAATCAACGAAGATGATGTCAAGTCAGTGAACGACTTTGTCGTCTACTGTAGTAACAAAGGTATTTCTGAATCCGAAATCGAGCTTTTTCAACGTGAATACCACCAGAGATCACCAATCTGGTGGTACAGTTGTGAGTCGTTTCTCTACAGCATGCTCAATCGCGCCCTACGAACACTCGACATGGAAGCCATGACGAAAATGGGGTTTTTCATTCGCAATCTTCATCAACAACTAGAACAGCTGCACAAAGAACAGTCAGATGAATATATGAAACGATTTACCGTCTATCGTGGTCAGGCACTCACTAACGACGAATTTGAACGTCTACTTAAAACGAAAGGAGGACTCCTTTCGTTCAACAATTTCCTGTCTACTAGTAAAGACCGACGTGTAGCAATGAACTTTGTTAAGCGGGCACTACGTACACATGAACAACGTGTGGGAATCGTCTTTATTATGACAATTTACCCAAGTAACGTATCGGCTTCGACTAGTCCATTTGCTCTCATCGACAAATACAGTGCTATTCCACAAGAACAAGAAATTCTCTTCTCAACACATACTGTTTTTCGTGTCAGTCAAATTAATCAAATAGTTAATAATAGTAACCTTTGGGAAGTTCAATTAGTCCTCACAAACGACAATGATCCACAATTGACTGCTCTTACCCACCGCATGCGACAGGAGCTCTGTGGATCCACAGGATGGCAACGATTAGCTCATTTGATGCTCAAAGTAGGTGAATTTAATCAAGCCGAAGAACTTTACAGTGAATTACTCAAGAATGCTTCCACCGACAATGATACGGCACATATCTATCACCAGCTTGGATATTTAAAAGACAACCAAGGAGAGTACGAAGATGCAGCTTCATTTTACGAAAAGTCTCTCGAAATCTACCGAAGAACTCTCGCGGAAGATCATCCATCATTGGCTAATATCTATAACAACATTGGTGGGGTATATCACAACATGGGTGACTACTCCAAAGCATTTGACTTTTACGATAAAGCACGTCAAATAAAAGAAAAATCTCTGCCTCTGAATGATCCTTCACACGCAACTTCCTACAACAATATTGGCTCAGTATTCTATCACATGCTTGAGTACGTAAAAGCAGTGGAATTTTACGAAAACGCACTGAAAATTGAAGAACAAACTTTGCCTTCAAATCATCCCTCATTGGCTACTTCCTACGGCAACATGGGTTCGGTGTATAAAGACATGGATGACTATCCGAAAGCACTTGAATTTTACGAAAAAGCACTCAAAATATCAGAAAAAGCTTTGCCCCCAAATCATCCTGATTTAGCTACTTTCTACAGCAACCTGGGTCAAATCTATCAACGCATGCGTGAGTATCCGAAAGCACTTGAATTCTACGAAAAAGCATATCAAATACAAGAAAAATCTCTGTCTTTGAATCATCCCACATGGGTTGCTTTCTACAACAACATCGGATCGGTGTATGATGATATAGGTGACCAATCGAAAGCACTTGAATTTTATGACAAAGCGCTTAAAATAGGAGAAAATGTTCTGCCTTCAAATCATCCCTCATTGATTACTTCTTACAGCAGCATTGGTGGAATATATCACAACATGCATGATTACTTGAAAGCACTTGAGTTTTACGAAAAAGTACTTGAAATAAGAGAAAAAACTCTACCTCCGAATTATCAGGATTTGGCTACCTCCTACAGCAAAATCGGCTCGGTATATTACTGCATGAATGACTACTTGAAAGCACTTGAGTTTTACGAAAAAGTACTTGAAATAAGAGAAAAAACTCTACCTCCGAATCATCAGGATTTGGCTACCTCCTACAGCAAAATCGGCTCGGTATATTACTGCATGAATGACTACTCGAAAGCACTTGAGTTTTACGAAAAAGATCTAGAAATCACGAAAATAACGTTGCCTTCGACTCACCCTGATTTGGCTAATTCCTACGTCAACATTGGTCTAGTGTATAACAATATGGGTGACTACCCGAAAGCACTTGAATTTTACGAAAAATCTTTGAAAATCAAGGAACAAATCTTGCCTTCTGATCATCTCGATTTGGCTGCTTCCTACAGCAATATCGGATTAGTGTATAAAAGTATGGGTGACTACTCGAAAGCACTTGAGTTTCATAACAAAGCGCTTAAAATAAAAGAAAAGGCTCTACCCCCGGATCATTCCGATTTGGCTAATTCCTACAATGACATTGGTTCGGTATATCATGACATGGGTGATTATACAGCAGCTCTTGAGGCTCTTCAAAATGCTTTTCAGATTCAACAAAAAACATTTGATGAAGAGAATTTAGCTATCAGTCGTACATACTGTTGGTTTGGAAAGATCTATCGTGGTATGAAAGATTACTCAAGGGCGTTTGACTATTTTGAAAAATGTCACACAATTATTCAACGAGTCTTACCAGAAAAAGATCCCGCTCAGGCAATAATATATAGTAATATTGGTGATGTTTATCGGTTAATTGACAATTATGAAATGGCACTTTCATTTTATCGAAAAGCATTGGATATTCAAGAAAATGTTGAATGTAATCCTCTCGATTGCGCAACAACATATTCAAATTTAGGCGAAACATATCGAGAAATGAAAGATTATTCAACGGCATTGATATATTTGCGACAAGGATTACAAATTCGTGAAAAGAAACTTCCAAAGAATCATCCTGATTTAGCTGCAATCTATCACAATTTGGCAAAATTACATTTAACCACCCAACAATATAGTATGGCCATGGAAAATATTCAAAAAGCGATGGACATTGCTCAAGAAAAGTTACCTTCAAATCATCAACATCTTTTGGACTATAAAGAAACATTTGAACAAATTCGAAAGAAGATGTAAATTTGTTTCTTTCTTCCTACTCAATAAATTGATTCTAATTGCTACTCACTCCTACTGACATTGTCTGCTCTCTATTGCATGCGCGTGATCATGAAGCCACCAATGAGCTTGACAGGTTTACGTAGAGAGAACTACAAAGAACTAGTAGAATAATAAGCGTAAGTATGGCACACATTAAGACAACATGGGATACGTGAACACGATAAGCTTTCCCAAATATGACACAGTTTTCGCCATAACAGCTTCATTTAGTAAAATGACGACCGACTCAAAGATGAGTTAGTGTAATAGTTGGAAAGAAAATATGTTTGAGCAATAATATGTGAAAGCTGATAGCGTACGCTTGAAATAATGTCGCACGTCAAGCACTACTTAAAGATTTCTAGCACTATTTAATACATATGCATAGATGTTTATTTTTGTCTGATATTTTTAACACTATAGCTATTCAATATCAAGCAATACTTAATAGATATTCACAGCTACTATGTATTTATCTATAGCTTTTAAATCTTTTCGAAGTGATTTATTCATTTACAATATCGGTAAGTTAGTAGTTATTTAATCTTAAGAAATCTCGGGTGAGGTGAAATCATGGCAAGATCGAATATAATCTGCTGAACTATTGTCGACGTTGATGAAAAAGGGTAAATCAATACTGTTGACACTCTAACGTATAATCACGTGAAATAGACTGGGAATACCTTAAAATTTGATTATCTTAGTTCATGTATGCTATTGGCAGCAGATATTTTGAAATTTTTAGTTTGATTTTGAGAATATTCATTTTATCAGAATATGATTAATCTACTTACCATACAGTATTTATCTTTCAACTGTGAGTGATCTTAAAAAAACAATACGCTTATTGATAAAAGATGGCTAGATATTAAGGAGTTACTCATTGAACATTTTTTTATATTTTTTCTCGAAATAACTCAGTTAGAATAAATGAGTAACTGACTATTTATTAAAGAGCTCAGAACCATTACTAAATAGTGATAGAAGAAGTCTATGCATACTCGGTGAGACTAATTGATTGTAATATTGGGTATTGTGAAAATATTTTTTACCATTACAAGTAAGAAAATGGAAGATGTATAAGTTGCTCTTATGTCTAGCTTTAATAATGGTGTTGAAGTTCCAGAAAATAAATTTACAATCTAAACCAATAAAGTTCATTACACAAAAACTCATTGCTGAGTAGCGAAATGGGAACAATATGACACTCTTTATTTTCCAAAATCATCAGAGACAATTAAAAATGTATCTTATTTCAATAATTCTTCTGATAGAAAAAGCGAATGCATTTCGATGAGTGATAAACTAGAGCACATTATACATCCTTCATTTCATGACTTGTAACAGCAAAGATATTTGTAAAATATTCCATGTTACTATCAATTAGCCTCACCGAGTATTTAGATATTTCCATTAATATTTAACCTTTTAACAGCGAACTGTTTTTAAGGAAAGAAAATGAAATTTCTTTGTCAAAATTCATCATATTGTGAATATTATTCAAGAACATAATTATTCTACTGAGTCTTGGTTTGAAGATATGCCTGGTTTATTTTCGAATAATAAAAACACAACAAATCAACAAAACCTCTAACATAAGTACTATGTAGCATACGGAAAGCAAACATGAGAAAAAAACAAACTGAAAATGCAATAAAGTCTGAAATTGCTCAAAGCGACCAATCACACAAAGGACCACATTGCAGTCTTTAGACGAATAACGTGAACCTATTCTCTTTTTTGTCTTCTATTTGTATGAGCACATAGATTATAAATTCTCTGAGGGTTTCTGCCTGTTGTTTGAGGTATAAGAGAAGGAAAGTGTCTAGCAGTAAGTTCAGTTTGTTTATAACTCACTATGCTGTGTAAAGCGCTATTGCATAAAGTCGTTACTGGCAACACATATATTTAGCTTGAAAATATGATTGTACAAATAAAAATTGTTGATACTGTTGAATATAATATGCATGTTTATAATTAGATGTGTGTAGATGTGGGCCGTAGATGAAGAGAAGATCCACAATTACACTCACACCCACATCCAATTCAAAATACAATATCCTTTTGATTGGTAAAGAGGCATTAAACGTATTTGTCAAGAAAAGAGCATTTAATCAAATACATAAATAAATAAATAAATATATATATATTAAGATTTGTTTTTTGTTTGTAATCATAATTATGCATTTATTTATTGATAAATAAGAAAAAAGAGAAACAAACACTTTCACCGCCACATTCGAACGACACAAACAAGAAATAAAAGAAACAATCATAACGATCGGAGGAGCAACACAAATCGCATGATAATTCTTTTATCATATTTCATTTCATAATTTCCATCTGGGAAAATGTCAGGTGAAAAAAAAAACAGACAAAATGGGTTCAAACACACAAACGCACACATATTTATGCCTATTAAACATCAGACCGATTATGTGGAATTGCTCTTTTTTTCTGCATCCTAATCGAGCGAGCCACAATAAATAAAAAAAAAAAGAAGAAATTATTTAGTTCATCTTCTTCCTTATGAACAAAAAAAAGCCAATAATCATAATCGGTTGAATTCTTTTTTTTCTGTTTTTTACCAAACACTTTTAATATATTCTTCAACATCATCACCAAATTTTAGTGTATCAAATGTTGTTGATGGTGGGCTATCATGATATAGAAGAAAATTAAAGTCATTATGATTTAAAGTTTTTTCAAAATAACTAGCTGCTGTTGAATCACGATCTGTTAGTGGTTTTGTTTCAAGTGATCGATTTGGTTTAACTTGCATTGATTGTAATGGTTCACTAATACCAAAACGATTTTCAGCTGATACACGAAATAATGTTTCTTTATTCTCAATTAGATTAAATACTTTTAATGATGTTGATGTTGGTGGTAAACGTGCAACTTTTATCCAAATACCGTCACGAAATTTTTCAACAAAATAATTTGTTATTGATATATCATTTATAGTTGATGATGGTGACCAATTTAAATCGACAGTTGATCGTGTTACATTTGTTATACTTAATGGACCTAACGGTTGACCTGGTTTAGAAAATGGTGATTTAGCTTTAGCAGGTGTATCAATTTCTTTTGAGCGACCTTGTCCTATACGATTATAAGCTGATACACGAAAATTATAATCAGTATCTTGTCGTAAATGTGTTATTGAACATGTACGTGTAGAACTATCTGTTCGTTCAACTTCAACCCAATCTCTACCATCATTCATTTCAATAATATAACCAAGTAAATTAATATTTTGTTCTGATTGATTATCACTATCTGTATCTAAACCACTCCATTGAAGACTAATAATACCATCATCAATTGTACGTACAAAAACATGATCAAGTGTTGATGGTGGTTTAGGTTTCTTTTTAGGTGATATAGTTGTTGGTAATTCACATGGTTCAGATTCACCAGCATCAGATTCAGCTGTAACACGTAAATAATATGATAATGATGAATCAAGATTATCAAATGTATATGATAATTGTGTTCGGTTTACACGATGAACTAATTTCCATTCAGAACCTGATTTTGATGAACGTTGATAAAGTAAATAATGTTTTATTGGTTTAGAACCAAATTCACGTGGGCATAACCAACTAACATCAATAGATGTATAAGTTGTATCTGTTACAGTTAAATTAACAGGTTTTGATGGTGGAACTAAGATAAAAAAAAAAAAAGAAATATGATTAACTAAAGAGATATTGTTTAAATTTTCATTTACTATTTTCTTCTTTAATTTCTATTGGTTCAGTTTCAACAAATTCTCCTTGACCAAATTCATTAGTAGCAGCTACACGCATTTTATATTGTACATCTGGTGTTAAATCATTGACAAGACATGTAGATGCTTGTAATGAATCATTAACATTTTGCCATGTTAAACGACCAACTTGTTGTTTTTCCACAATATAATTTCGAATTGATGAATTACCTGTATCAATAGGTGGTAACCATGTTAGTATGCATGCTGTTGCACTATGTTGTTTAACTTTTAATTGTTCACATAAACCAGGTGGTACTTGTCGTCCTTTAAAATGAACTAATAATGTTGCTGCTACTGTTGAACGATCACCTGAAGCATTTTCAGCAAAAACACGTAATTCATATTGAACATTACGCATAAGATGTTCAACATGTATAGTTGTTTCTTTTGTTTCACCAACTTGTACCCAAATCTTTTTTGATGCTTCACGTTTTTCAATAATATAACGCTTAGTTTTTGATGAGCCTTCACGCCAATTAAGTGTTAATGAATCATCTGTTATATCTGTTACTGTTAATGCTTCTGGCATATCTGGTGGTTCAATTGTACGTTTAAGTGATAGAACTTGTGTTTCACGTGTTGGTGATGAACGTCGACCATTACGTGTTAATGTACGTAGACGAAATTGATAAGATAAATCTGTTTTCAAATCTGTTCGTGTATATGTTGTCTCTGATGCATCAACTTTTTCTAATTCATGCCATGAACGATCTTCAGAATCCCATACTTCAATCATATAAGATGATATCGAATCAGTTTTATCTTGTAATGATCCCGCAGCTGGTAACCATGTTAAAGTTATTGATTGACCTTTAACTTTTCCAATTTCAACATCACGTGGTTTAGGTAATGAAACTAAATAAAAATAAAGTTTTATTATTTGTTTTGTTCAAATATTTGACAAAAAAAACAAACTCTTACTATCTTTAGCATCAATTTGTAATGGTTTATCAATTTCACATGGTGCTGATAGTCCTTCTTCATTTTCAGCCGTTATACGTATTAAATGTTGACCACCTAATGGTAAATTTTCAATTTCGTATGTTGTTGCTTTACAACGTCCTTCTTTTAACCATGTTGTTCTTTGTACATCACGTCTTTCAATAATATAAGCACGTATTGGTTTACCACCGTCATTTTCAGGTGGATCCCATTGTATACGTACTGTTTGTCCAATAATATCTTTAACAGTAAGATTTTTTGGTGGTGATGGAACATCATATGGATTTCGACATAACGCAGGCATATCTAATTCAAGCCATTCACTTTGAAGATCATCTTCATTTAATGCACAAACACGAAAATAATAACTTGAACCTTCAGTTAATTCTGTTATAATAAGATTATATTGACTTGATGAAACTTTTTTAACTGGAATCCAATTTGCTTTAAGAGCATCACGACGTTCAATAATATAAGATGTTATATCACTTGAACCACTTGATGATGACGGTTTCCATGATATAGATATTGATGTTGAATCTATATTTGATGTTTGCAATGGTTTATCAGGCATAGATGGTGGTTCTAAATTTAAAATAAATATGATTTATAAAGAAAAATAAAACATCTATTGAATTGATTATTTGATGTAAAATAAATTAATTAACTTACCACTTTGTTTTTGTGGTTTAACAGCTTTTTCAAGTGATTTTGGTTCACTATATCCAATAGCATTTGCTGCTTTTATACGAAAATTATAATAGACATTTTCATCTAATTTTGAAACTCGAAAACTTGTTGTTATTACTGGTAAAATTTGTACTTGTGCCCATTCATTATTTTTATTTTTCTTATCACGCATTTCTAATAAATATTCTGTTAATGGACTACCACCATCATTACGTGGCATTTCCCATTGTAATGTTATTGATGAATCTGTTTTAGCTATAACATCAAGTTTAGCTGGTGGTTCAGGTACATCAATTTTACGTGTTAATTTAACTGGTTGTTCTAATAATAATGGTTCTAATGATTGACCTTCAGAATTTTCCGCAAATATTTGTATTAAATAAGAACCTTCATCTGGTAAATCTTTTATTACGAATCGATTTATATCACCACTGACATATCCAGCCTATATATATGAAGAAAATTAATTTAAAATAAAATCTATTTTTCTTTTCTTAAATAACTTACTTTAACCCAAATTGGTCTTGATATTTCACGTCTTTGAATAAGATAACCTGTTAATGTTGTACCACCATCATTTAATGGTGGTTGCCATGAACATTCAATAGAAGTGGGTGAAACAATTTTTGTTAATAATGGTCCTTCTGGTTTATCTGGACGTGTATATGGACTTTTAGCAATAATTGGATCAACAGTTGTTAATGCTGGTGACATTCCAATAGAATTCTCCGCAAATACACGAAAATGATATGCAGCATCTTCAGTTAAACCTGTTGCTGTATATGTAAATGTACTTGGATCATTATATCCAATACGTTGCCAAACATTTCTTGAAGCATCACGTTTTTCAATAACATAACCAATAAGTTCATTTCCACCATCATCTTTACATGGTCCCCAACTAATGGTAATAGAATCTCGTGTTACCATTAATGTACTGATAGGGCCAATAGGTGCCGATGGAGCAACTAGAAAATGAAATTTAAATTAATTTAAATTATAATACAATATACATCAAGCAAAAAATTTCTATTAGACAATTAAAAATTTATACTCTATATTTTCCTTCGATAAGTAGATGTAAATTCCACGAAAAAAGAAGAAAAAAAACGAAACATACTGCTCTTTTGACGTGGAATAACTGGTCGAGTTAATTCTGTGGGCTTTGATTGTCCTATTTCATTAACAGCTTTGATACGAAAATAATATTCTTTTTCTTCTTTTAAATGCCGAATAACAGTATTTGTAAGAAATGCTTCAGGTTCAGCAACAGTTTTCCATGGTACTGTTTCTTTATCACCAATACGTTGTTCAATAATAAAATTTTTGAGTTCTATATTTTCTCCACCAGTAAATTTTGGTATTTCCCATTCTAATGTACAATTATCAATATCAATATCACTGACAAAAAATGGTACAGGTGCATGTGGAACTGTATTTGGTCGTTTTAATGTAACAGATTCACTGTCAAGTGATTGTGAAAGACCAACAATATTTTTTGACATTATACGAAATATATATGTTGCATCTTCTTTTAATTGTCTTATATCGACTGTAGTTTCACTAGCAGGTACACTTTCTAATTGTGTCCATGCTTGTCGATTAACATCTTTACCTTCAATAATATAACCTGTAATTTTTGCACCACCATCATCTGTTGCTGGTAACCATGTTAATGTACAACCTGTTTGAATAATTGAATCAATTTTAATTGGACCTATTGGTGGACCAGGACGTTCATATGGTAATTTAGCGATAACACTATGTTCTAATTCTAATGGTTCACTTATACCTATTTCATTTTCAGCTAATATTCTAAAAAAATAACTTGTTTGATCAAGTAAACCAGTACATGTATATGTTGTATTTGTTGGACGAATTGTTGCAACTTTTGTCCATATTGATTTATTTTCTTCACGTTTTTCAATAATATATGATATTAATTCACTTCCACCATCATCAGGACATGTATGCCAAGCGAGACTAACATAATCTTTACCACTAGCAGTTACTTGTAATGGTCCACCGGGTGGTGATGGAACTGTTTGTACAAGAATATCAAGACGTGATGTTGCTGTACCACATTCATTTGTTGCTTGTAAACGATACACACCAGTATCTTGACGTGTTGTTTGACGCAAAAGAAATGTTCCGCTATTTTCAAATAGATCAAGTATTGCATGATTTTCTTTAGATTCATCAACACGATTTATTGTTAATTCAGGTTTAGGTGAACCAGTAAATGTAAATGGAATACGTATAGATGAATTAACATCAACAATAATTTGTTTACGATATTTTGAATCAAATTCAATTTTTGGTGTTGCTAAAACAGTTACTTGAATTTGTTTACTATCATTACCAAATTCATTTTGAACTTCTAATGTATATTGTCCACCATCATTTTCTTGTACTTCTTTTATATAAAGTACAAGAATATTTTGTGCAAGTGATGAAGTATATCGTCCTGTTGTTAATGGTAATTTTCGACCACCTTTATACCAGATTATTTCAGGTTCAGGTGAACCAATAATTGTTGCTTCAATACGACCTTGACTACCACCATTAATTGTTTGATTAGAGATTTTTTCAATACGTGGTGCAATACCTTGTCGTGGCGCTCGAATAACAATAGGCCGTTCTGTTTGTGAATATGCACTTAAACCAGCTTGATTACGTGCAGCAACACGAAATTCATATTCACCATTGGTTAATAAATCTTCAATTTTATGAAAACATTCAGTTATAGGTGTTATAGTGTCTATACGTATAAATGATGGATCAGTTTTAAAACGTTGTTCAATTATATATTCAATAATTGCACTGCCATTATCACGAATAGGTGGTTTCCATGAAAGTATACATGATGTATCTGTTAATTCATTTATATCAATGGGTCCTGGTTGTGTTGGAACATCATATGGATCTTTAATTGTAACAGATTCACTTGGACGACTATATGCACCTTGACCTTCTTCATTTACAGCAGCTACTCGAAAATCATAAATAGATCCTGAAATAAAAACCATTATTTATGAATGTAAATGAATGTTTTTTTTTCCTATTAACTAACCTTCAATTAAATCAACTAACTGTACAGTTGTTCCTTGTACTAATGTTGGTATAGCTCTTATCCAACGTTTTTCTGTTTGTCTTTCAACAATATAACCTTGAATGGGTGCTCCACCATCATTATTTGGTGGTAACCATTGTAATTGACAATTTGATCTTGTTACACCAGTAACTTTAAGTTCTCTTGGTGCACTTGGTACATCAAATGGATTTTTTGCAATAAATGGTTCAATTATTTCAGTTGGTTCCGATTGACCTAATTTATTTTCTGCTAATACTCTTACAGTATATTTTGAACCTTTTGTTAAACGATTTAGTTCATAATTAAATGTTTCACTTGAAAGACGTTCAGAACGAACATATTGTGAACGACGCATATCACGATATTCAACAAAATATGAATTTATTGGTGAACCACCATCATCTAATGGTGCTTCCCATTTAATATGAACTGATTCGGCAGTTATATTATCAATTTTGAGATTTCTTACTGGTTGTGGAACATTTTGTACACGAACATCAAATGATGTTTCAGCTGTACCAGCAACATTTTTCAATATTAATTTATAAAATCCACTTTCATTTATGCGAACTTTTGATATAGATAAAGTAACAAATGTATCTGATTGTTCAGTACGTGCTCGATCATTAGCTGGTTCCCAGATCATTTCTGGTCGTGGATATCCAGTGACTTCACATGATATATATAAAACTTGACCTATAGGAATATTGATTGGTGATGGAGTTGAATTAACTATAGTTGGTGGTGCTAGAATTTAAAATGGTAAGAAAAAAAAATTATGATTAAATATTCTTTTTATTATAAGAAAAAACCTATTTAACTTACAATGTACAATCATTTTAGCGGTACAATCAATTGAACCAAGAGCATTTTCAGCTATTAATTCATAAGTACCCGCATCGGTTGGTAAAGCTTCACTAATTATTAATTTGGCTGTATCACCAGTAACATCAAATTTTATACGACTATCTTGTGTAATTGGATGATCATTTTTCAACCTAAGATTTTATAATTATTCAAAAACAAATGATTCATATGTTTCATTAGACGACTTACCATTTAAATTCAGGTGTTGGATCACCTTTAACACGAGCAGTTAATGTAACAGATCGTCCACTAATGACTGTAACAGGTTCAAGTTCTTGAATAAATTTTGGTTTTTCACCAATAATTGGTTCTCGTATTTCAGTTTCTTTTGTAGGAGTCGATGGTTCACCAAGACCAGCCAAATTTTGAGCTCGAACACGAAATTCATATTTATGTCCTGTATGTAATGAATGTAATTTTTTCGTTGTGCCTTCAAATGGATCAGTTGGAGCCTTATAAGAATAAAGAGAAAAAGAACACAAAAACAAACATAAGAAGATAGAAAAAAAACGAAAAAGTTAATTTAACTTACATGCCATTTATAATTCGAAGCACTTCGTCGTTCAATAACATAACCTGTTATTGGCGAACCACCATCTTTAATTGGTGGTTGCCAACTTAATTCAATCCATTCGTTACCAATTGCATTTATAGTTAAATCAAAAGGTGCACCCGGTTTATCTAAAATAATTATTTTCGTTTCATTTTTCTGACAAATCATATGACATACCAAATGGATTTTTGGCAACAATAGTTCTTGATGGAGCACTTGGTTCTGATTGACCAACTTTATTACAAGCAATTACTCGAAATTCATATTCACTTCCTTCAATAAGTTCTTCAGCTTTAGTTTGTGTTGTATCTGATGAAATAATTAATTTTGTTACTTTTGACCAACGTGCAGCTCCTTGTAAACGACGTTCAACAAAATAACCTGTTAATGGTGTTCCACCGTCACTTGATGGTGGTGCCCATTGTATACGACACGTTGTTGCAAATATTTCATCAACAGTTGGAGCTTCCGGTGTAGATGGACGATCTAAATATTCAATTTTTAGAATTTCTTTCTTAATCAGTATAGAAAATTAAACAATAAAGATATTTCCTAGAGGAATATTATAGATTCAGTTAAAGTATTCTGACGTTTTTATTTTTACTCAGTGTAAGAGATCGGAAACTTTGAAGACTAGATAAGTGCAATAAAATTTTTATTTAAATCAAAGTTTAAATATAGAATTTCATTTCAAAGCTCAAATTTCCAAAGAAGATATTAATTGTCAATATGAATTTATATTGTCTTGAACTTTATTTTATAATGGTGAAGAATATTCAATATCATTCAACGACTTGAGTTATCTTTAGAAGTGTAAGTTCATTATCTGAGTCGCTAACACACAGTGGACACAAAAATAGATGCTTGACTTTCGATATTTAAACCTTTGTCTTTGGTGATGCTCTTTTCTGATTTTAAAAAAAAGGCAATTGATATGAATGCATTTTTTACATGATTAAATATTACATGATATTATATCTTGAAGGGTAACATATATGTCAAAAGTTGGTTTAGTATTGCATCTACCATTTACTGAGTCACGAAATCCGAAAAACTATTTAAGAACTGGAGTTTCAATATTCACCTTGTTTTCTTTCAAAATTCTTTGATAAAAAAAAACATTAAATGCTACTTTCATGGGTTCACTTCAAGTCTGCATTAGAATAGTTTCGATTAGTCTGGAACATATTCATCAAGAATTATATTCAATTTGTTTATCAAAGTGTTTTTCGATGAAATGGTTTACTCTGAGATCTCATAGATGAAAAATTTAACAGTTTTTTGATTGAGAAGCCTTCTCGAAACCAAGGAACTTTTAAAAAGTATCATCAAGAATTTCCATTTCGCCACCCCCAATCAATGCATTGGTTCACACCTCTACAGTAGTTATTTTATTCGTGCTGTTTTGTTTCATCATTGATAAATCTCAAAAAAAACAAGGCTTAAGTTTTTCTAAAATAATATCTTACCAAATGGACTCTTAATAAGTATTGGTTCAATAGATTCACATGGTTCTGATCGACCATATTTATTTTCTGCACTAGCGCGAAAACGATATTTAGCACCATCAAGTAATTTATTAACAATTGTTTTTCTTTCTTCAATACTCATTACACAAACTTCATCCCATGATGCAGCACGTCGTTCTTCACATTTTTCAATACAATAACCAGTTAATGGTGAACCACCATCATCATCTGGTTCTTCCCATGTTAATTCACATTCACCAACATCCAATAATTTAACAATTAAATTCTGTGGTTTACTTGGTCTATCAAGTATTTCAATAGTTCCATTTCTTTGATCTTGTCCATACTCATTTTTAAGTGTTATTTCATATAATCCAGAATCACTTCGAATTGTATTATCAATTGACATTTGTATATGTCCATGTTTAAGTAATTTATTTTTTATTTTATTATTAACTTTATTCCATTCAATAGTTGGTTCAGGCCATCCATGGTATAAAACATCAATAATTAATGGTTGATCATGTTTAATTAATTTTGAATTTGTTTGAAATGAATGAATTTTCGGTGGTACTTGTAATTTTAAAAATGCTTGTGCCTTTTTATCACGTGCAACACATACATATTCGCCTTGTTCATCAATATCAATTTGTAATAATTTTAAGCGATAAATTGTATCTGTATTATGAAATTCAATTTTATCTTTTAAATAATCTAATTCTTTTTTATTATGTAACCATTTAACTTGTACACCTGGTCGATTTAATTCACATTCAAATAGACAAATATTTGGCAATTCAGTTAGAATTTGATCTTCTGGTTTACGAACAAAATAAATTGGTATTTCTTCAACAATTAATTTTCCTATTGTTGTTACATCATCAGCTTGACATGTTATTATACCAATATCTTCATTACGTATATCATTTACTGTTAATTTTAATGTTTTATTTGTTTTATCAAATTCAATTAAATATTTTTCTTTATCATGAACATCATCAATTAATTTTCCATTATGTAACCATTTAAAATCAATATCACGTTTAGCTTTAGTATAATTTAATTTTGAAACTGAACATTGAAATTTAGCTGCATCACCTTCTTTAGATCCAACATCTGTTAAACGTTCAGTAAAACGAACATTTTCTTCATCAACAATAATTTGACATTGTGTTTTAACATCGGCTACACAACATGTATATTGTCCTTCATTATCAATTGTAACATTTTTAACAATTAAACGTAATTTATTTTTTTCACGACTTATATCATATTTTGTTCCTGGATGAATTTGTTGATCATTAAAAAACCATGTTATTGGTTTATCTGTACGATTAACAGTACATTCAAGTATTAATGTTTGATCTTCAAGAATAGTACGATCTGCTAATGTTTGAAGAAATTCAACTTCAAGATCACCAACAATTAAATTAGCAACTGTACGAATTTGATCTGTATCAGCTGTACATGCATATTCACCCGAATCAGTTAAACTAGCATTGATTATTTTTAATGTTTGTCGTTTATTTCCTGATGATTTAGAAATTTCAAAACGACCACCACCAACCATTTTAACACCATCACGATACCATTGTATTGGTATTTCAGTTTCTGTACGTGTTGACTGTGTTTTAGATACTTCACATTGAAATATAACTGTTTCACGTTCAATTGTTTTAATATCTTCGAGTAATTGAGTGAATGTTACAGGAATTTCTATCGCAAAGAAAAAAGATATTAAGTTTTTAATTTTCGAATTCTGTAAAATTGAGATTATATCATGAGAGAGCATCAGATATAGAACTGAAATGTACTCTTAATAAAATTTTCGAATTTAAATTAATGAGTCCCTCCAAAAATACGAGATGCTTCTTTTTTTTCGATTATGTGTATTTAGTGATTATTACAGCCTATATATTTCTCAAGTAGTCTTAACGATCATCTTCTAAGAATCAAGGTAGAATCGATCGAATGGATCCTACCCGATATCGTCTAATACCAGATAATCTATTTAATTACTCAAAATTGATCTAGAACTCGTTAAGAGAGTCGTATTAAAAACAATATTAGCATTAATTAATATTAAATCTCATGCTTAGGTATTTTGTATTAAAATTAACACTCATATGCTGAGGTTATCAGATAATAGAATCAATTATTACAAAGATGCTATAATTATTTTTAATTCTAATACGTATGTTATCTATGTCTAGACGCTTAAGAACTCAAATTGCAAAGTTCCCAATAATAGAACACTTTTGTTTTATTATGAAAATAATTTTTCTGGATCGAGGAAGAAACAGTTGACTTCAAAACTAAAGATTCTGCTGTTTTTATTTGTTTCGAGTACAAAAAAACATTGCTATGTTTCTATCAAATGATTCCTAGTAACAGAACAAAAGTGTTCTGTTATTGAGAGCTTTTGAGCTTGAATTCTTTGGCGTCTAGTCACAGGTAACAAATGTATTACAATTAAAAGTCATGCTAGTTTAATGCTAACATTTTTGCCTTAATTACTCCTAATGCTAAAATGATACCTCGATTATGAACTTTTAGCAGAGTTTTTCGAAAATACAAACCAAACACATATTAATGATTATGTATATTCATTAAAATATTTCATAAAACACATCGCTCTTTTATTGTTCATCAAAATACATTTGGCAACAATGATAGAAGCATTAGACAATTTCATTCTACTAGTGTAATCAGCTGAGGCTTAATCCCTCTTCTCTCTACAAACGATTCAGTTCTACTTGAATCTTCATCTCAAGATATGATCAGTACTCTTCGATTCATGTTCTACTCTAGTCGATTAAAAACTTTTTATGTCTAATCCAAAATAATATATAAGGATAAAAAAAATTTACCTTTAACAGTAAGTTTTGCGCTAACAAATTTATCCATAATAGCACAGCGATATTCTGCTTCATCTTCAAATTGTGCATTATGAATAATTAATTTTTGTATTGGTCCGGAACGTTCAATAGAATATTTAACTGTTGATCGTAATTCTCGATCAACATTACGAAACCATTTACAAATAATTGTTTGTCCAGTTTTTTTCCATTTTGATTTATTTAATTCACATTCAAATTCAACATTTTCATCTTCAAAACATTCACGATCTTGTAATGGTGTTGTTGTTAAAACAAATTCTGGTGGTAATTCATCAACAGTTAATTGTGCTGAAGATCTAACACGTGATGATGTACCACTACTAACTTGACATGAATATGTTTTTTCATCAGATAATTCAATATTATGAATAATTAATGTATATTTTGTTTTTTCATTCATTGTCGAATATTTTGGATTATTAAAATCAATTGGCTCATCATCACATTTCCAAACAAGATTTATATTTGGTTTATTTAATTCAACATAAAATTCAGAAAATTCCGGTGTACCTTCAACACAAGTTTTATCACTTAATGGAATAATTATATCAATTGGAGCTTCTGTTAAATAAAACAAAAACAAAAACAAAAGCAAGTAGAAAAATAAATTAATACAAAAGAACACTTTAATTTACCAGTAATAACAACTTGACATGATTGTTGTTTATCTTCAACTTTAATAGTATAAATTCCGGCATCAGCCATTTTTGATTCTTTTATTTCTAATCGATAAAATCTTCCATCATTTGTTACTACAAATCGACTTTCTTCTTCTTCATTGATTTTTATTTCTTCATCATCTTTCAACCATGTAACTTGACAATTATCTTTACTTAATGTACAACTTAATTTTAATGGTTGTCCTTCTGTTACTGTTAAATCTTCAAGTGAACGAATAAATTCAACTGGCGCTTCTAAAAAAACAAAAAATGAAAAGTTTACAAAAAAAAAAAATGAAAACAAATTCAATTTAAATTTACCTTTCATATTTACTTGACACGTAGTACTTGCTTGTTTTATTGTGCATACATATTGTCCATGATCTTTCATTTTACATTCATATATTGTTAGTGTATGAACTTTATCAAGTGTTTTAATAAGTACACCATCAACAGGACTATGTGTTAAAATTTGTCCATCACGTGTCCATATGGCTAAATTATCTCTTAATGGTTTATTTGTTTCACATTCAAGTATTAATTGTTGTTTTTCTACAATAGTTACAGTTTCATCTAATGGACGAATAAATTCATAAGGTAATTCTTTAACAGTTAATTTTCCGGATGTTTTTTCTTGTCGACAAACACAACCATATATGGCTGTATCATCTAATTCAAGACGATTTATAATTAAACGTTGAATTTTATTATCAACTTCAAATTGATAATGATCATTTGGATAAATTTCCATTGTATCTTTATACCAACGACATTCAACATTACGTTTATTAAGTTCACATTCAAGAATACATTGTGACCATTCATTGAATTCAATATCTTTTAATGGACGGATAAATTGAAGTTTTTTCTCTAGAAATAAAAATAAAAATTATTAATTCGTATTTTCTAGACGTTTTTCTTATTGATGATTAACTCTTTCTTGTCTCTATCGAAATTTGAAAGTCAATAGAAATAAAATTTTCCTGTACATCAACTTAATAATCATTACTATACACAGAATACTGTTCCAAGCACTAAACTGAGAGGAGGAATAAATACAATCACTCTACTCAGAAGCAAGTTCCGTTCTTTTCTCTAGTATAATAGAAGGAAATTTCTTGAATCCCTTCAAAAACTTCGATCCAACGATTTAATTCTTTTTTTCAGACATGTTTAGATGCATATATTTGAACAACAAAAAACTAATCTGCACAACAAACATTAGAACTAAATTAGTCGACTTTTATATCCGATAAGAAATTCTAGCAATGACATTTTTCTTATATTAATCGATTAAAATAACGAGCTTTTAGGTAGTAATGATTTTTCTTGATTCTACATAATGAAAAATTTTTTCGATTTAATATTTTTACCTTTAACAGTAACAATAGCTTTGCTTGTTTTATTATTAATTTCTGCTTGATAACGTCCTTCATCAGTTAATTGACATTCATCAATAATTAATTTAACAATCGGACCAACTTTTGATGTTTTAATACGTTCATTATCGACAATTAATCGATCACCATTAAATGACCAAATAACTTCATCATCAGGTCGATCTTTTGTAAGAATACATTCTAATGTAAGTGGTTCATCTTCAATAACTGATGCATTTTCTAAACCAATCTCAAATTCTGTCGGAGCATCTATTAAGAATTCAAAAAGAAAGTGTTTTTCCTACAAAAATTCTTTTTTTATAGATTACCTTCAACTTGAAGTGCACCAATTGATTTGATATCATCATTAAATTGACATGTATATTTTCCTGCATGTGTTACTTTAACTGAATTAAAAACTAAAGCATGAATACGTCCACGAGATTCTATTCTAACTTCATCATTTGAAACTAATGCTTGTTGTTCATCATCTTTAAACCATTGTGCAATTTTATTTTCTTTATTTATTTCACAATCAAGATGATAATCCGATGTATTTTCCATAATTGTTGATATATCTTTAAGAGGACGTGTAAAATAAACAGGTAATTCATTTATTTTAATATCTGTATTTGCTTCAATATTAGCTTCATTTATACGAAATGTATATTTTCCTTGATCATTAAGTTTAGCATCAAATAATTTTAATTGATATTTTTCACCTTGAACATTCATTTTAATACGTTCATTATTTTCAATAGGTATACCATCTTTAAGCCATTCATATTTTAAGAAACTTATTTTATTTAATTCAATATTTAATATTAAATCATCATTTTCAGTTATTATATATTCATCATTAAAACCTTGTACAATAGCTAATGGTAATTCATTAACATGTACTTTACATGTTGAATCAACATGTTGTGATGGATAAAGACATGTATATGTTCCTTGATCATCCATTTGAATATTTTTTATAATTAAACGATGTACAAGATCATTATGTTCAAGAAATATACGTTGTTCATCAGTAAAAGATGTTAATTGTGTTGAAAAACGATACCATTCAACATGAACAGATTTATTTAATTCACATTCAAGAATTAATTCTGATGCACGTTCTTGTATATCAATATCAGCTAATGGACGAATAAATTCAACAGGAATTTCTAAAGACAACAAAAAAATAATTATTACTACATATCACAGAAGACAAATGATCCATATCTTTCAACTAACGATTTTGATGAAAGATATTGTTAGAGATTCTACGAAAAATTTGTAAAATGATTTATATCCATCGGTGGTGATTCTTAAGTTAATGAACATTTTAATCAGTTTTTCAAAAAAAAATCATGTTGTTCTTTATAGTTTAAAGCTTTTACTTTTTCGTATAAAAGATACAATAATATCTGATACTGTCATAATGAATGGGTTCGGTTGATAGATTGTCTTATGCAAAGTTTGAACTCGAAAGTCTATTTTGAAGATGATCTCAATAGATCAGTGCATACTGTTATAAAAATGTACTAATGCATGTATAACTATCAATAAGTGTGTATTTCAGCTAATTTTTATATATGCAATACATGTTGGGTTACTCTAGATAACATGAAAAACTCTACTTTGTAGCTAAACACTCTGAGTTCAAAAGCTATTTTAGAAAACTAAATGAGACGTTTTATAGAAAACTCTTGAAGTTAGAAGATTTTTTGAAAAAAATTATTTTTGAAATTAGTAAACTCTAACTCTGTGTATTTTTTCTTTTGATGTTTGTAATTTCTCAGGTTGGTCTTATTACTGTGTTTTAGTCATTTTTTTTTTACTTTTTTGTGTTTTGAGATCATCTCTAATTAGAATTCAGGTGAGTTTTCGAATTATTTTATTTGATTAGAACTTTTTTGTTAAACTTACCTTTAACACTGACAAATGCTGAACTCTTTCTTTCACTTTCTGTAATAACATCATAATTTCCTTCATCATTTGGTGCCATATTACTAATAATTAATCGATGAATTTTTTCTTCAGTTTCAAATCGACATCGATCATTTGGTTTTAATTCTTGATTATCAAAAAACCATTTAACTTGTTTATTTGGTTTCGTTACAATACATTCAAGTGTTAATGTATCATATTCAGTTAATGATTGATTTGATAATGGTTTTTCAAAATCAATTGGTAATTCATTAACTGTTAACATTGCTTTTGAATTAATTGCTTCATTATAAATACAAGAATATTCTCCTGTATCATCAAGTGTTAATGAATGAATTTCTAATTGAAAGTAACGCTGATTTGGTTCACCTTTACGTATAAAACGTGCATCATCTGATAATTCAATACCATTTTTAAGCCATTTAACATTTTCAATTGGTTTTGTAAATACACATTCAAATGTAATTTTATCTTTTTCAATACCATTTGTATCAACAAGATGTTTACCAACTTCAATAGGTCTTTCTGTAACTGTTAATTGCATAGATGATTCAATTTCGCCAACTTCATTTGTTAATTTAACAGCATATGTTCCTGTATGTTCTAATTTTGTTTCCAATATAATTAAACGATTTTTTTCAATACGAAATTCATTTGATGTTGATGAAATTATTTCATTGTTCCTTGTCCATTGTATTGTTGGCTCAGGAAAACCTTCAGCTTGATATTCAATAGCATATTGTTCAATAAATTCATGACATTGTGCATCTTTTAATTGTTCAATAAAATAAGGTCGAATAAGAACAAGTAATTTAGTACGCATTGTAGCTGAACCAAATTCATTTGTTGCATGACATATATACTCATCTTCATGTGCAACTTTATTAACTTGTTTTATTAATAATAATGATGCATTTTGATCAGTATCAAATGCAATTGAATAATTTTCATCTTTATCTGATAATGCTTTATCATTCGATGCTCGACTCCTAAAATAACAAAAACAAAACTGATAAGAAAAAGAAAAAATCTCTCTTTTTTTTCTCGTTATATACCAAGTAAATTGTGGTAATGGATAAGCATCAATTGAACTTTCAATTCTTGTATCATCACCTTGAATAGCTTTAACAGTTTTACCAAATTCGGATGGAAATTGTGGAGATTTTTCACAAGTTACTTTCACTTTTTTAGATTTAACACTTCCACCACCATTTGATAATGTACATGAATATTCACCAATATGTTTTGGTTGAGTTGAAGGAATTCGTAAATAATATATACGTTTATCATTTTCATCATTTACGGATTCGATTTCACCAGGAATTAATGTTAAATCTTGATTATTAAATGCCCATTTACACTGTGGTTGAGGTTTACCTTCAGCTATTATTGTTAATTCGCATGATTCACCTTTTTGAACTGTTTTTCCTTCGAGATCAGTAATGATTGTTGGTTTAATTTCTAGAAAAATGCGAAACATTTTCATATATACTATTTTATTATCACTTATATAATATCAATTAACGATTTATTTCTAATAATTTTAACATTAAGAATTTAGTTCATCAGAACATTTTTCGCACTAGATTCGATTGATCATAGGTATAAGTGAACAAGAAATGATCTTCAAGTTTGTTTTTTTTACCAATATCTAGCATCCTCTGTGCACATAGACACGTGAAGAATCAAGGTTTTAGCTATTTATTGGCTACTCTCAGAAAATAGTCAACGTACAGTTATGTCTTGTTATTAAATCAATACTTCATAAATTAAAAGTTTTCGCTTTGTTGAAAAGAGCATTATGTTAATGAAAAAAGAAATTGAACAGTTAATTGATAAGAAAAACTCGTCATTGAAAACCTCCAGCTGTTTGGAATAGTTTTAATTTGTATTGATGTAAACTAGATCAAGTGAGTAGGAAGTTGTAGATTCACGTTTTAGTGGATCCGAGCGCAGATCTGGAAGGATCCACAGCATCTTAGTACTGAGTCTGAACTTTCAAAAGTCGACCGTTGTTACATTCTAGAAAATCCTAGATAGAAAAATATATAATATTCAAACTCAAAAACATTTTGACCATCTAAGGAATCCTAAACATAGCTAAATTTGTGTCAGTTTAAATAAACAGTGCATTAAAATATTATGATCGTTACAAGTAAATTCATTAAGTTTTGAGTTTGGTTATCAGGATAATTTTTAATCAAAAGTGATTTCGATTTAATTATAAATTCACTAAATGAGTATCCAAATGAGATAATAAAACTAAACAGCATCTCATAAAGCATGTATTTGTCAACGATTAAATCCCTTCTCTTCACTTTCCAACATTTGATGTACATTCTTTTCATAAAAAATTCTAGTAATGGAGTTTAACAGGTAGAGCGATTAGCGGTGTAGGAGATGTACATCTCTGATCTGCATGTTTGTATAAATCTATTCGTTCTAGATAATAACACTCAAATTAAACGAACACTTAATTTCATTTCGGTACATATCAAATAGGAACTCAATTATAAGTTTAAAGTCCGTTTGAAACTGAAAGTCTAAGTTTACATTCGAATTATTGTTTAAATCTCGAACGAATATTCCTTCTCCAATCACAGTAACTAATCAGTATATTATTTCTAATAAATCAATATGCTTGTTTTTATTTTCGAGACAAACCTTTTGGTGTTAAATTCATTTTTCCTTCAGCTTGTCCAACCATATTTGCAACTTGAACTGTATAACTAGCTTTATCATCAATATCAACACGTTTAAAAACAAGTGCTTGTATACCAGTATCAACTTCATTAATAACTTCAATATTATCATTTGGTAAAGTCAAAGTTTCACTATTCTTTAACCAAGTTACATTAAATGGTTGTGAACCAGAAAATTTGCATTGTATTCTAGCTGATTCTTCAATAATTGGTTGTGCATCTTGTGGTTTACCTTCTAATTTGGGTTTTGTTTGTACTAGTAAATTTGCTTGACTTTCAATTGTTTGTTCATCATTTGTAATAACAACACGGTATTTACCAATATCAATTAAATCTGTTTTATTAACAGTTAAATTTATTAAGGGATATTTTGATTCAATTTTATATTTTGCTGATACTTTTATTTCAATATCATTAAAGTACCATGTAATTAATGTTGGTTTTGGTAAACCAAAACATTCACATGAAAATGTTATTGGTTGTCCAACAATTGTAGCAACATCAGAAAGTGTCTTAGTAAATTGTAGATTAGCTTTAACAATTGTATTTATATTTACTTCAGCTTTTCCAGCTTTATTTTTTATTTGTAATGTATAACGTGCTTGATCATCACCATCAGCTTTAACAATTTTAAATGATTCTTTATTATTTTCTTTATCAGATGTGAAGATATAATTTGGATTTTCATTTAATTTAAGTTCTTTACCATTTTTCAACCATGTTATATCAACTTGTGGACGACCTTCTATTTCAAATCGATATTCAATTTCATCACCACGTTGTAAAAGTGTATCATCAACGGTAGCTGGTGATATACTTGGTGGAACTTAAAATTAAAAACAAAAAAGTACACAATTATAAAAAGAAAACGAAAAATTTATTTAATAAAATAACATACTTAAACATGAAAGTTTAGCTTTACTTGTAACTTCACCAAATTCATTATGTATTCGAACATTATATTCATCTTCATCTTCAACTTGAATATTATGAATTATTAATTGACGATGTTGATCATCAGACCATGTATACTTATCACTTAATTCAATAAGTGTTTCATTCCCACGCATCCAACTTATTTCTGGTATTGGATAGCCTTGAACATCGACAGTAAATATTGCATCTTGTCCACGTAAAACTTCAAGATCTTTTAATTGTGTCTTTAATGTTGGAGCTGTTGTAATATTTAATTGAATTGGATGTTCAGTAGTACCAATAGCATTTTCTGCACGACATATCATTGTACCCATATGTTTTGTTGTATCAACTTGAGGAATACGAAGTGTATAAAGACCTTTATCATTTTGTGCTTGAATTTCAACACCTTCTTTGACTGTTAAGGGTTTTCCATCTTTTAACCAAGTAATTTTTGCAGATGGAAATGCATCGATTTCCGACTCAAAAATTGCTTCAGATTTATCAGCAACTGTTAAATCTTGTGGTGTCCGTATAAATGTTGGAGTTTCTAAATTTGAGAAGAATTATTTTTTCTTGCAATTAACGGAAAAACATAAATGAAAGACTTACTTGTAACAGTAACTTTACATTTCTTACTCTTTGCCATTCCACCTGTATTTTGAACAGTTGCTGTATAATCACCTTGTTGATTTGGTTGAATACTAAGGATAGTTGCTGTAAATGTTTGACCATCTTCAGATTCTTTTATTTCAATTTGACCTTCGGCAGCAACAAGTTCGTCTGCACCACGGAAGAATCGAACTGTTGGTTTTGGATTACCAGTTGCTTCAATAGTTAATGTCATTGGTTCTCCTTTTGTAGCATTAATAGCTGCTTCAAGATCACGAATAATTGTTGGTTTGATTTCTAAATAGTAATATTTAGTAGAAAATAAATAAATAAATAAATAAAAAATAAACACCAACCTTTAACATCAAGATTAACTTTTTGTTCGACAGATCCAACAACATTTGTTGCTTTAACAAGATATGCTCCTTTATCAGCCATTGAAGTTGTATTAAAAACTAAAGCTGCTATGCCTTGATTTTCATCGTTAGCTATTTCAATTCCTTCATTTAATGGTTGTCCATCAACACGTGACCATTTCAATTCTGGCATTGGTAAACCAGTAAAACCACATTGTAATCTTGCTGGTTGTCCAATTGATACTTGAGCATCAGTTGGTTTTCCGACTAGGCTTGGTTTCACGCAAACATTTAATTTTGCACTTATTTCGTCTTTATCTAAGCCATTATCAGCAATAACTTTAATGATTCCACTATCAACTAAATCAACTTTTGAAAATGATAATGTATTTAAATCGCCTTTTGATTCAATTTTTATTTTTCCTCCGGATTTTAATTCTTGATCATTCAAATAAAATGTTACTTTTGGTTTTGGTATTGCTTCTATTTGACATTGAAATGAAATTGGTTGTCCTTGAATAACATTTTCATCTTGAATTTTTTTAATAAATGTTAATTTAGCTAAAACATTTAATTTTGATGATGATTCTTTTTGTCCAGCACGATTTTTAACACGTATTGTATATGTACCATCATCATCGGATTGAATATTATCAATATGAAGTGTAGTTTTTATAACATTTTCTTCAATGGTTTCAATATTTATATGTGGTGGTGATGCATTTAATGGTTTTTGATTTTTTAACCATTGAATTTCAGGTAATGGTCGCCCAGTAATTGTTGTTGAATATTCAATCTGTTGACGAATTTGAGTATTTTTATCTTCTAATAATGGTTGAATTTCGGGAAGTTCTTAAAAAAACAAAAAAAAAAGAAACGCTTAATTAAAGAGCATAATATGATGCAAATAAAATTTTACCTAATACACTTAATTTTGCTTTACTTGTAACTTCACCAAATTCATTAACAACTCGTATATTATATTCATCTTCATTGTCAATTTGCACATTACGTATTGTTAATTGTTTTCGATCATCAGAAAATCCTATTAGTTCATTTTGCTCTTCAAGAACTTTATCAGCACGACTCCAAATTATTTCTGGTATTGGATAACCTTGAATATCAACAGTAAATATTGCATCTTGTCCACGTAAAACTTCAAGATCTTTTAATTGTGTCTTTAATGTTGGAGCTGTTGTAATATTTAATTGAATTGGATGTTCAGTAGTACCAATAGCATTTTCTGCACGACATATCATTGTACCCATATGTTTTGTTGTATCAACTTGAGGAATACGAAGTGTATAAAGACCTTTATCATTTTGTGCTTGAATTTCAACACCTTCTTTGACTGTTAAGGGTTTTCCATCTTTTAACCAAGTAATTTTTGCAGATGGAAATGCATCGATTTCCGACTCAAAAATTGCTTCAGATTTATCAGCAACTGTTAAATCTTGTGGTGTCCGTATAAATGTTGGAGTTTCTAAATTTGAGAAGAATTATTTTTTCTTGCAATTAACGGAAAAACATAAATGAAAGACTTACTTGTAACAGTAACTTTACATTTCTTACTCTTTGCCATTCCACCTGTATTTTGAACAGTTGCTGTATAATCACCTTGTTGATTTGGTTGAATACTAAGGATAGTTGCTGTAAATGTTTGACCATCTTCAGATTCTTTTATTTCAATTTGACCTTCGGCAGCAACAAGTTCGTCTGCACCACGGAAGAATCGAACTGTTGGTTTTGGATTACCAGTTGCTTCAATAGTTAATGTCATTGGTTCTCCTTTTGTAGCATTAATAGCTGCTTCAAGGTCACGAATAATTGTTGGTTTAATTTCTAAATATAAGAAAATATATTATGCATGAAAATTGGATTTAGTTTTTAAATAAATCTATACCTTTCACATCTAAGTTGATCTTTTGTTCGACAGATCCAACAATGTTTGTCGCTTTTGCTACGTAACCACCTTTATCAGGTAATACTGTTGAATCGAATACCAGTACAGCAAGACCATTTTCATCGTTTGCAATCTTGGCATGTTCACCAAGTGGTTGACCATCAGCTCTTAACCATGTAATGTCAGGTAGCGGTTGTCCAGCAAATTGTACTTGAAGACGAGCTGATTGACCAATTTGTACTTGAACATCAGTTGGTTTTCCGACTACTGTTGGCTTAGTACCAACATTTAGTTTAGCTGTTTGTTCACCTTTATCAACGCCGTTATCGATTACAGCACGATAAGTGCTGATATCCGTATTTTCACATTTGTTAACAGTCAATGTGTATACATTTTGTTTTGCCTCAATCTTATGTTTCGTCGAATTCTTCAATTCATTGTCGTTCATAAACCTATTAAAATGCATTGATCCATTTGTGAAAATATTACAGTTAAACGAAAATATAAACATACCATGTTACTTTCGGTGCAGGGAAAGCATCGCAAACAAACGAGAATGTACCACTCTGGCCCATCAGAACATTGATATCATTAAGAGGTTGAACAATATTAAGTGGAGCTAAACAAAAAAACTCAACATCGTACTTTAATGATAATCATTCGCCTATTTACACTCTGCTCAACAGGTTCAAGTAACTCTCAAGTCATAAGAGAAAATTTATCAATTGCATTACTTACCTGTGATATTTAATGTTACAGTTGTTTCTTCAGACGACGTCTTATTCTTCGCCATCAATTTATATACACCTTGATGTTCAGGTTTCACCTCAGTCACCGAATACACATGTCGTGGACCTTCAATGCTTGTAAATTTAACTTCTTTACCATCTTTTAATAATTGTACTTTAGGCGCTTCTTTTCCATCAACATCAGCGGAGATTTCAAATGGTTCACCAACTTTCAAATCAATTACTTCTGATGTTGGAGAAATCTTTGTTAACTTAACTGGTTCCAATACGGTCAATATGCATGGTGTTGATTCCGTTTCTCCAAGTTCATTCTTCAATACTACTCGATATGTTCCTTCATTAGCAGTAACAGACGTTTCTTTCAACAATAGTTGATATTCACTCTTTTCTTCATCACATGAAGTATTCTCTGGTGCTATTGGCGTATCGTTAAAGAACCATTGTGCTTCTGGTCGTGGAGAACCACGTACAACAACTCGTAATGCAACATCTTTTCCACTAACTGTTTCTTCTTGTTTAGGTAATTGTGTTGTGATAAGTGGAGNAAGTTTATGCCTAGTAAATCAACTTTCGGAATTGATAATTTAGCTTCACCAGTAGCTGCATTCAATTCAACTTGAGCACCTTCTTTTGGTGTTAATGGTTTACCATTGAGAAGCCATGTTATCTTAGGTGTTGGATATCCATCAATCTTTGTTTCAAATACTGCTGTTTCACCTTGTTTTACTTCTTGCGTTGCAGGCTTAGCAACAAATGCAGGTGATTCTACAACAAATGTGTTTTTCATAATGAAAATTTGACAGCAAGTTTGACTTACTTGTAACAGCGACTTTGCATTTCTTAGATTTGAGTGATCCACCAACATTCGTTATCTTAGCTGAATAATCTCCTTGATCTTCAGGTTGAACATTCAAAATAGTTAATGTATATGTATCATCCCCTTCAGTTGTTGGTGCTGTTACTTGAATATGATCACTTGGAACAAGTTCATCATTGCCACGCATCCAAACAACCTCTGGTTTAGGTGTACCAGTAGCTGATAATTTTATAGTCATTGATTCACCTTTAGTAGCATGAGTAGTCGCTTCAAGATCATTTGTCAAGACAGGTTTCACTCCAGCAATATTCAATGTTGTTTTAGCTTCAACTTCACCGACGGCATTTGTTGCTTTGGCAGTATAAATACCTTTATCAGTAAGTTCGGCATGTCGAATAGATAATGTTGATGTTCCATCTTCAGTTTCAATGACTTGGAAGCGTTCATTAGTGGGTAATGGTTGTCCATTGAAGAGCCAAGTAACATGGGGTTTCTCAACACCACTAAATTTCCATGAGATTTGTGCATCTTGACCAATTACACATGATTGTTCATTGGCTGGTTTTGAAGCTTCAACTTTTGGTTTCACTGGAAATAATAAAGAGAAAAAAGAAGGAGATTAGTGTGCGTGCAAAGCAAGATATGTTTTTAGTATTACCTCCAACATTCATTTTTACTGGAACTTCAATCTTTTCAATACCATTATCAATTATGGCGGTATATATTCCTGAATCAGGAAAATCTGCTTTGTTGATATTGAGAATGATTTGATTTCCTTTAGTTTCCATTTTATGTTTAGCTGATGGTTGTATAGGAGTTCCATTAAATAACCAAGTAATATTTGGTCGCGGTAAACCATCAACTTCAAATATGATTTGTGCATTTTGTGTTTGTAGAACATTAACATCATTTGGTGTTTGTTTTAATTCAAGTGGAGCTAATGAAAAGTAAATAATTTGATTGTGATATATTCGTTAGAGATAAAGATAGGCGTCTGATTTACCCATTTAGTGGAATATAATAATGTCAAAGTGAGGGTGTGTTTTTCGTGCAGGCGTTGTATTCATGCTCTTAAAGCAATAGAAGTGTGTAGGATGTGTTTGAAATAAAAAGTTAGGTGGCTGAAAACGAATTCATATATAATCAACAATAAATAATTGAAATCTCGTGCAAAAAATCTTTTGAAATTTTTTATTTATATTGTGCATTAAACTGTAATGTATTCAAATTGTTAGTCTATGCTTTTTAGAGAGGAAATTTAAGTTCTTAATTTTCTATGATTAATTATATTTTTTAATCGAAATAGATTAAATTCTTTTGTTTTTTTCTTGTTATAGTAAATTATCTTTTATGTATTTTTGTTTATATGATTGCATTCATAACAAACGAAAAAAAAATATTACACACAGAATTTATTATAGAACATGCGTATGCGTGCTCATATTGTTTTATTGCTATATACCTGTAACAATAATATTAAAAACCATTTGCTGTGTTCGAATTTTATGTTTAACATTTGCAATATATTGACCACTGTGATCCGCTTGAGCATTAGTTAATGTTAATTGATGATTACCGTCAGGTAATGATTCAAGTAAAAGATTTTCATTGGATTTTAATTCTTTACCATTTTTCGTCCATTTTACTTCAGGTAATGGTTTACCTGGTGCTTGGCATTGAAGTGTACATGAACCACCTTGACTTACATGAATATCAATGGGTTCCGTAGATATATCGGGTGCATCTAATTAATAATTTAGAAAAAACAATTTGTAATGAGAAGTTTTCCAATTTTTTTCATATCTAATTTTTCATATCTAGCAGTGTGTGAAAGGAAAAGACTGAAAAGACGTTTGAAAATTTAATTTTTACATCTTGTATTGCAATCATTAAGAAAATATTTTCTCCTTAAGTTCATTTTTGCTATAGAAAATCGGAGTTTAACAAAACGCTGTTTAAGTTTCATCCCTCAAAAAAAGTCAATTTTCGTTAGATATGTCGAAATTAGAGATGTGCAGTTTCAGTAAACTGTCTACCGAAAACTCACACTGACGTTCAATAATACATTGTATCGATGTTCACCGGTTTACCTAACATATCTATTATGTATGGAGATGTTAATGTTCCCGTGAACACCAAAACTGCATACGCCCTACCCGAAATCAAGAGTAATGTATACAAGGATAGACAACGGTTTGCAGACTTTCCTTATCTTCTCCTTAAAAAATTATCATTTTTTTCAATCTCACATTCCAGAACTCTCGAAGGAGTTTCATTTAAGGATAAAGCTTCTTTTTGCTTGAAACTGCATACGAAGCTGCAGTGTCTGTTTTTTAATTAACCTTTGTTATTATAATATTTAAAAAAACTTCTAATGTCAAATACTGCTGTTTGACACACTGTTTCAAATAAAAAGAATCAAATGCATATAATGAGGGTACAGAGACAATTTAGGGCTAGCACACAAGCTATTTTCGACTCTTGTTGGAAGAATATCTCCCGAAAAGGTGACGCTATAAGACTAAAAATTTCAGTATTGGCTCTCCATTAAAGCTCGATCTGTATTTTGAAAATTGTATGCGATTTACATATACTTGGCCAAAGATTGATTTTACTTTAAGATAGCGAAGGACCTTACTCTTTAACTTAGTGAATGCACTGAATTCAGGTTATCTGCTACCAGTATATCATAGGAACCGTTAGGGTACTTTAGAGAGTTTTTCGCACTTGACTACAGAATGCTTGTCAATGTTCAATCTACAAATTTGTTGAAAAATATTTCCTAGAATGCTGTAAAAACTTAGTGGATACATTGAGAACTTAATACATTCACTAGTGTATGCTTTCCTGTTGATACACTATTAAGTAAACATTAAATCAAATTTTCTACTTACCCATAACAGTGACTTGACTGACTAATTCTGTTTTACCCATTTGATTTTCAATAACAGCCTTTAAATAGGAACAAAAAAAACAATTATTAACAAAAGAAAATTAGCTTTTTTCTTTACTTTATATTGTCCATCATCATTTAACTGAACATTAAGTAATTTCAAACTATGTGTTGGTCCATCATTAATAACAACAATATGATCAGGTTGTATTTCAACTGGTTTATCATTATGAAACCATGTACATGTTGGTAATGGACTACCATCAGCTGTAACTGTTATAGTTACATCTTGTCCACGAGATATTTCAAAATCTTGCATTTTTTGTTGAACAGTTGGTGGTGCTGAAAATAAAAACAAACAATGAAATGAATGTGTCTTTTCTTTTATTCTTTTTTTATTTCTTACCAAGAACATCTATATTAATTTCAGATGTATGTGTACCATATTGATTTTCAATTTTACATTCATATTTTCCTGAATGTTTCATTGTTGCATTTGGTATAATAAATGTTGCTTGACCAGTTGTTTGATCAAATTTAATATCAAAACCATCTTTATTTGTTAATGTTTTTCCATTAAGTAACCATGATATTTTTGGTGGTGGATATCCTTTTGTTGTACATTCAATTGTTAATTTTTCACCTGTTTTAACTTGAAGAGATTTTGGTGGTTCTTGTGTAAATATTGGTATTTGTTGTCCGGTTACTTTAATTTTCTTTGTTTTTATTGTACCTGCCGAACTTGTTATTACAGCTTGATATTCACCAAGATAATGTTCATTAAATTGATGAAATATAATACGATAATAACCATCGTCTGTAACAATGATTTCATAATCAGATGAATTTGAAGATAATTCTTGTCCATTAAATAACCATGTTACATTTGGTCGTGGTTTACCTTGTGCATGAATTTCTAATGAAAATTCTTCACCAATTTTTGCTATATTTGCACCTGGTGAATCATTTAAATCACTTAAAATTTGTGGTTTTTGTTCTTTTATATTTAATGTTGTTTTAGCTTCTAAAGTTCCACCTTTATTTTTAATAATCATTGAATAAATACCTTTATCTTCAGAGCGAAGATCATCAATAATTAATCGATATGAATTATTTTCTTCTGTTATGAAACGTATACGATCATTAAAATCAATTGGTTGAGAATCTTTAAACCAAGTTATTGTATTATCTTCACCACTAAGACGTATTGGTATAGAACCTTGTTCACCAATATTAAATGTCATTGTTGGTTCTAATTTTGATTCTAATTTAGGTTTCGAATAAATATTTAATTGACAATTTGATTGAAGTTTTTCAAGACCATTATCAATAATAGCTGTATATTTACCACTATCAGAATTATCTAATTTTGTTATTGTTAATGTATTTAAATGTGGATTGTCTTTTGGTATTTCAATTTTATGTTTTGGTGAAGATTTAAGTGGTTGATCATTGAATAGCCAAGTTATTTTCGGTTGAGGAATACCTAAAAATAAAGATAAATTATTAATGGAATTCGTAAGACATTAAAATGCAAAATACAATGTAGAAGCTATTGGTGGTCACGAGGAAATTGTTTTATTTTATCTATTTTGTGACACTTTTCTTCAGAATCTTTTTACTCATATCAAGAACATCTGTAAGGGTCCGAATTTCTATCTCTATACTTCAACAATATTTTTAAACCGTGTTTTACAAAGAAGGATATATATAAATAATATTTTTAGGTCATTTTTCTTTTCAAAGATTTACCTTCAGCTTCGATAGTTAATGTTGTTTGCTCATTAAAAATAGCATCAATTGTTTCTGGTAGAGTCTTTTTAATAGTAATTGGTGCAGTAACATTTATTTTAATTGGTTCACTTTCTTGTTTACCTAATTTACTTTTAGCTATTAATGTATAAACACCTTGATCTTCTTGTCCAACATCAGTTGTTATTAATCGACAAATACCTGTTGTTTCATCATATGTAATTTGTGTTCTTGTTGATGGTTTTATTTCTTTACCATCTTTCATAAAAACAATATCAGGTTTTGGTCGTCCATTAACAGTATACTCAAGTGTTAATGTATCATGTTGTTTTAAATCTGTATTAATTGGTTTAGCTGATGATTGAATTGATACATTATCAACAGTTGATATTTGAAAATTTGATTCAATATTTCCTAAAGAATTTTCAATATGTAAACGATAATTTCCTTCATCATCAATTTGAACATTTTTTATTTTAATTTCATATAATGTTGAATCTGTTGAATTTGTTATAAGTTCATAATGATCATCAGTTAATTGTATTTCAATATCATTTTTAAATAGACGTATTACTGGTTTTGGTGTTGATAAACATTTAAAATTAATTGAAGCTGTTTCATTTAAATGTATTTCATTAGTTGCTTGTGGTTTTTGTAAAATTTGTGGTGCTGTTTCAACTTGTAATTGAATTATTTCTTCAATTGGTTTTCCAACAGAATTTTCTAAACGTAATGTTATTGGACCTGAATGTTTAGCTGTTGTTTGATTAATAATTAAAACACTTTTTCCTATAGTTGCATCAGTTTTTATTTCAAAACCATCTTTAGCTGTTAACGGTTTTCCATCACGTAACCAAGATACTTTTGGTATTGGATTACCATCAAATTCACATTCAAAACGTGCTTGTTCACCTTGTTTCACATTAACAATAGGTTCAGGTTTCTTTTTTAATTGTGCAGCTTTTTGTATTTGTACTTTGATTTTTTTCGATTTTATTTGTCCAACATCATTTGTAATTGTTGCTTGATATTCACCACTATCTTTTGGTTGTGCACGTTTTATTAATAATGTAAATGTTTCTTCTTCTTCAATAATTTCATATTCTTCTTCAACAGTTTTTATTATTTCTTCACCATCTTTAAACCATTTAACTTGTGGTTTTGTACCAGATGCTTGTATGGTAAGTGATACAGGTTCATCAGCTTGACCAATAATATCTTTAGTAAGATCAACTTTTAATGTTGGTTTTATTTGTTGAACATTTAAATTCAATTTAACTTCACTTGTACCACCTATATTTGTTGCTTGACATGTATAACTTCCTTTATCGATTATTTGAGCAGATTTAAATTGAAGAATTTGTGTACCATCAGGTTCTGTTTGTGTTGTTATATTATCTGATGGTTCAAGTGGTTTACCATCTTTAAGCCAAACTATAGTTGGTGTTGGTGAAGCAGATATTTTACATTGAAGTTTAGCTGGTTCATTAATATTAACATTAACATCGGATGGTTTACCTAGGATGGAAAATAATTTTAATAAAATAAAGATTTTATGAAAATTATTAAAATTTACCTTCAACTTTAGGTTTGATGCAAACATCAACTTTTGATTGAGCTTTGATTGTATCAATACCATTTGAAACAACAACTTCATATACACCCGTATCGATAAGATCAACTTTAGGTAATGTTAATTTATTAAGATTTCCTTTTGATTCAATTTTATATTTGCCTGATGGAGTTATTTCTTGGCCATTGAAAAACCTGAATATGAATATGATTTTAGTTTTGTTTTATTCATAGATTTCGAGGTGTCGGGTTCTTATAAAGTACGTGATGATCGCTCAGAAATACAATCAACAGTCATCACCATTTACAATAAATCAAAAAGATATTAGAAAATCTTCTACACTAGCCACTGGAACTACAAAATAATACTGAACTGAAAATTATCATTTATCTGATTGATAATTGATAAGGATATCTTCATATATAAACATCTGAAGAAACTCAACTATTTATTATCATTTTCCATATTTTTATAGTCTTCAAACGAAATTCAGGTTATTTTGAATATGATTTTCAGATATGCACTCTCCTTGTTCTCACGATCTCGACAAAGAAGAAGAATGGTAACTAAACAAATGAAAAACAATAAATTGGCTACTGCACTCTATGCAGTCGACCGCCTTTCAGTCAACGGGACTTGGGACACAAAAAAGTTTGTCCCATACAGCTCTAGTGTATAATTCCATATGAAGGTACTGTTTTCAATAGAGCTTTGACTTTTGTTTGGTGATCGTGAAATTCAAAACAGCTCTCATTCGATCGGTTTTTACCTAGCGCCTACGAAAATGTTAAACTATTATTGAAAAACTATCTAGCAAATTTTAGAAGGTAGCATTTTCTCAGTCACTTTGTGATTGTCAATTTTTTACAGCCTCTGCAACGTTCAAAAAAATTATCGAGAACTTTAATTTAGTTGAAAATAATAAATAAATGATTTTTACCATTTAATTGTTGGTTTTGGTAAACCTTCACAATCAACTTCAAGTGTAACACTTTGTCCAACTTGTGCAATAGTATCTTTAAGTGTTGTATTAAATTTTAATGGTGATGATACTTGAATTTGTGTTTGAGCTTCACGTGTTTGTAATTTATTTTTACATATTACTTTATAAACACCCTAAATAAAAAGAAAACAAAACTTTTCAATTAAAAAACAACGAACAAAATATTTTTTTTTTGATAAAATTACTTTATCATCTGATGTTGCTTGTTTAATTGTTAATGAACAAGTACCATCAGGTTTTTTGACAATTTCAACACGATCAGATGGTTTTATTTCTTTGCCATCTTTTGTCCATGTTATATCTGGTTGTGGACGTCCACTAACATGACATTCAAGATGAATAGATTGACCAATTTGAATAGTTTGTTGTTCTGGAAATTCACATTTAAGATCAGTTGGTTGTATAACAGTTAATTTACATTGAGATTCTTTATCACCAAGTTCATTTGATACAACAACTTTATAAGTACCTTCATCTTCGGGTTTAACATTGGAAATAATTAATTCATATGTATTATCAGATATTTGTTTACCAATATCTTTTAATTCAACATTATCTTTAAACCATTTTATTGATGGTTGTGGACTTGCTGTTGAAGTAATTGTTAAATGAAGTTCTTTATCTAATAAACATTCTTGATCAGTTAAACCTTTAGAAATAATTGGAGCAGCTGTTATATTTAATTGGCATGAAGCTTCTATTGAACCGATTGCATTTTCAAGTTTACAAGTTAATGTACCTGTTTGATCAACACGTGCATTTTTAACAGTTATTAGAAGACGATGATTTGCTGCATCATATGTTTGTTCAATACCATCTTTAGGTGTTAATGATTTTCCATTATGTAATAAAGTTATTTTAGGTAATGGAAAACCATCAATTTGACATTCAATTGTAGCTGTATCACCTTGTTTTATAGTTGTATCCATTGGTTTAGATAGAAATTCAGGTAATTCTAAATAAAATATAATTTAAGAAAAAAAGATTTTCAGATTCTTTTCATCTCACAAACAAAATCAATTTTCATTAGAAAACCTGAACTAGGAAATAACTTGAGGTCTACTACTGTTGATGATTTCTGTCTTGAACAATGGGCTTCTTTCTGAAGAAGAGGACAATGTTTTCAGTTTTTTAATCGTGTATCTCAGATTTAGTTATTTTTTAGCCTTGTTCAATGAATATCTCCCTCAAACGTCATGGTATAGAATTTAAAAGTTCACTACAGCCTTTTTTCTATAGTTTCAGCATATCCTGAAAATTTCATACAATTTAAATGTACTTTGTAGAGTCCATCGGGTTAAAAATTTTCAGACACAGGCCCTATCATCTGCCCCGAGCTTGATTTTTAGGGATGGAGTCCTCTTAAAAAAAAAGAAAGTCTATTTCTATTTACTTGTAACAGTAACATTAGTTTTCTTTGATTTGATTTGTCCACCAGGATTTTGAATAATTGCACTATATTCTCCGTGATCTTTTTCTGTAGCTTTTTCAATAATTAATTTATAAGTATTATCATCTTCTTCAATAATTTTAACATTAGGTTGATTTATAGAAATTTCTTCATTTCCTTTAAACCATTGTATTTTTGGTTTTGGTTTACCATCAGCTTGAATTGTTAAAATAATTGATTCATGTTTAGTTACATTTAATGTTGGTTGTAAATCTAATTTTATTTTTGGTTGAACAGATGTTACATTCAATGTCATTTTAGGTGATTCAATGTCACCAGCTGGATTTATTGCTTTTAATGTATATGATGCTTTATCATCTAATTGTGTACTATCAAATATTAATGAATATACATCATCTTTTTCAATAGTTTTTATACGTTGATTATCAATATCAAATACTTGATTATTTTTTAACCATTGAATATTTGGTTTTGGTATACCAGATACTTTCATATTTAATTGTGCTGATTCACCAATAATAACTTGAGTATCTTGTGGTTTACTATCAATTTTTGGTTTCATAAGTACACTAACATTAGATGTTGATGTTATTGTACCTTGTGGATTAATTGCAACAATTTTAAATTGTCCACCATCAGTTAAATCAACACGATTTATTGTTAATGTTTGTGTACCATCAGGTTTTGATTCAATTTTTTGTTTTGTTGTTGATTTTATTTCATTATCATTTTGATACCATTTTATTGTTGGTTTTGGTATACCTTGACAACGACATGTTAATGTTAAATTTTGTCCACTTATAACATCTGTATCTTGTAATTGATCAATAAATGATAATGGTGCTGATACATTTAAATTTGTTTGTTCTTCAATTGTTTTAACAAGATTTTTTGCACGTATTGTATATTTACCTTGATCATCTTCTTTAACATCGGAAATAATTAAACGTACTTCATCAGTTTTATCATCATATTCAATATGAAAACGATTTTTATCTTCAAGTGTTGTTACATCTTTCTTATCTTTTAAAAATGTTATTTCAGGTTTTGGTTGTCCAGATATTTGACATGGTATTATAACTTGTTGTCCTTGAATAGCTTCAATTTTTGCTGGAAAAGAACTAATTATAGGTGCAATATGAACATCTAAATTAGCTTGACTTGTTATTTCACCCTCAGAATTTGTTATATGAACTTTATAAAGTCCTTTATCCGTTGATTTTGTTTGTTTTATTTTAAGTTCATATAAATTTTCATCTTCTTTTGTAATTATTTGATAATGTTGATCATCATGTACAATAGGTTTATCATTAAAAAACCATTCTACTTTAGGTTTTGGATATCCACTTGTTCCAATTGATAATGTTACATCTTGTCCTTCAACAATATTTTCATCTTTTAATTCTTTAAGTATTTTTGGTTGTGTAAGAACATCAAGTTTAACATCATGTGTAAGTTTTCCTGCTGCATTTTCAATTTGACATGTTATTATACCTGAATGTTTATTAGCATCGATTTTACGTAATGTTAATAAGGCTTTTTGTGTTGAATTATCAAATGTTATAGAACAATCAGCATTGGGTGTTAAAGGTTTTCCATTAAGTAACCACGTTACTTTAGCTATTGGATATGCTGATATTTGAGCTTCATATGTAACTTCTTTACCTTGACTAACAGTTGCATCTTCAGGTGTTTTAACAAATGTTGGACTTTGTTGAACGGTTACTTTAGCTTTTTTAGTTTTAATAACACCTGCAGGATTTTCAACCGAAGCTTGATATTCCCCTTGATCAGTAATAGATGCTTTTGGAATATGAAGAATAGCAGTTATGAGAGAATCATCTGGTGTTGGAGATTTTTCAATAGTAACTGGACCTATTTCATTACCATCTTTATAGAATCTAACAGTTGGTATTGGTCGACCATCAACAACAAGACGATAAATAAGTTCATCATTAACATTGATTGTTTGTGGTTCAAGATCATTTTTTAATGTTGGTTTTACTTCTAGAGATACACAATGAAAACAAAAAAAAAATTTTTTTTTTCTTTGATAAATTTTATTAGAGAAATGGATAGTTGCTTGCTATGAAAATTTCTATATGAATTATGAATAAAAGAATGAAATGTAATAAATTATTTTCTTGTGAGAAAATGATTTTCATCATAAACTGATTGATTTAATTGTTTTAACATAATGAAAATTTGTTTTCAACGAAAAGACGTAAAGTGGAAGTAAAAAGTTTAGAAACAAAGTATTTTTTACGTTTTCCTTAGCGATAATGGTTAGAACAAGTCAGAGAAAAAGACTTGTTTAACTGAAACAATTTCTTATCAAGAAAAGTACTTGTCAAATTTCCATTAACAAGTTTAGGTGAAAAGGTCTTTGGAAAACTAAGACTACAAAAAACGTTTTGTAAACAAGTTCATTGACGTTCTCAAACTCTTCACGATCTATTTTCAGCAAACTACATTCATTCTACGAAAGGTCTCAAAATGTAACATACATACAAATTTTCTGAAAATACAAACTAGAAAACAGTCTTTTAGACTTATCGGACAATGATTATCGTTCGTTGAAGATAGGTTGTGGAAAGGTGGGAGACATTTTATGTTGTTCAGGGATATTTTCTTTATTAGATAAACTTGTTTGCAAAACATTTTTGAAGTTTTAGTCTTCTAGAAATCTTTCATTCAAACCTATTAATGGGAATTTGTCAAGTACCTCTCCGGATAAGAAATTATTCCAGCTATTATCATTATTCAAAAAAGTCAAAAATACTTCGTTTCTAAAGTTTTTATCTCCATTTTATATATTTACGTCGCATAAACACTAGTAAAATGACCTTGTAAAACGTAACTATATCAGNTAGCGATAATGGTTAGAACAAGTCAGAGAAAAAGACTTGTTTAACTGAAACAATTTCTTATCAAGAAAAGTACTTGTCAAATTTCCATTAACAAGTTTAGGTGAAAAGGTCTTTGGAAAAGTAAGACTACAAAAAACGTTTTGTAAACAAGTTCATTGACGTTCTCAAACTCTTCACGATCTATTTTCAGCAAACTACATTCATTCTACGAAAGGTCTCAAAATGTAACATGCATACAAATTTTCTGAAAATAAAAACTAAAACACAGTCTTTTCGACTTATCGGACAATGATTATCACTCGTTGAAGATAGGCTGTGGAAAGGTGGGAGACATTTTATGTTGTTCAGGGATATTTTCTTTATTAGATAAACTTGTTTGTAAAACATTTTTGAAGTTTTAGTCTTCTAGAAATCTTTCATTCAAACCTATTAATGGGAATTTGTCAAGTACCTCTCCGTATAAGAAATTATTCCAGCTATTATCATTATTCAAAAAAGTCAAAAATACTTCGTTTCTAAAGTTTTTATTTCCATTTTATATATTTACGTCGCATAAACACTAGTACAATGACCTTGTAAAAAGTAACTATATCAGTTACTACATCAAAAACTCTCTAAAAACTCACCATTATTACTATACAATAGCAATATTAATAGAGCAAGGCATAAAAACATTTTTTTAGAAATGTAAATACTCTAGAAAATATGTATGTCAAAGGCGATGAGAATATTGGTGTACCGGCGCAAGCAAGTACCCGAGTAACCCACTACCTGACATCTATTCTATTGATTATTGATGTTTATATTACCTTTAATATTTAGATTAATTTTAGCATCAATTGACCCAACTTTATTTGTTGCACGAGCAGTATATGCTTGAGTATCTTGTAATGTAGTCTTATTAATAATTAATGTTGATTGTCCATTATCATCAGTAACAATTTGAATATGATCATCAGGTATTATTTCAGTACCGTCAGCTTTATGCCATGTAATATTTGGTTTTGGTATAGCCGAAAATTTAATATTAAGTTTAGCTGTTTCATCCAATAAACATGTTACATCCGTAGATTTACCATCAATTTTTGGTTTAACTAAAACGAACATTAGAATTAAATAAATCTTAATTATTTAAATATAAAATAAAATAGAAACCCACCACAAACATCAACATTTGTTTGTGTTTCAATTTTTTCTTTTCCATTATCAGCTACAACTTTGTAAACACCAATATCAGGCATATCAGCTTTGTTTATTGTTAATGTACTTGTTGAACCTTTGGTATCAATACGAGTTTTTTGAGTAGATTTAATTTCATTATCATTGAAATACCTTGCAAAAAAAAACAGTAACAATAAATAATAATTGATTTCTTCTTTCAAAGATTTTCTTTTCATTTTAGAAACCTCAAATTTTGTTTTAGATAGACAAATTTTAAGAGATTTATTCAAAGCGCTTGACCTTTTTTGCATGACAGGACCTTCTATTACGTCTAGCACATCTTTCTAATCTGAAATTTTTACTAAAAAACATTTATTCGTAAAACTGTTGATCGAAAAAAGATTTTATCAAAAATGAAGAATGTATGGTAAGAACAAGGAAGTTTTAACATACCATGTTAATTTAGGTTTTGGTACACCTTCACATTCAACAGATAAAACTCCATTTGAACCTTGTATAATATCTAAATCATTTAATTGTTTAGCAAATTTTAATGCTGCAGTAACTTTAACATTTGATGTTGTATCAATTTTTCCAAGTTTATTTTTAACTGATAATGTATATGTACCAATATCTTCTTCTTTAATATTTGCTATTGCTAATGAACATTCATTATCATTACGTTGAATTTTAATACGATCTGATTGTGCTATTGGTTTTTGATCTTTTAACCATTGAATATCAACATTTGGTCGACCATAAACATTTGTTTTAAGAACAAGTGCTTCATTAAGTGTTACTTCTTGATCTGTTAATTGTGGCTCAATACGTGGTGTTTCTATGAAAACAAAAAAATAAAATAAATTCTCAGTGAATTTCTATTATATACCAAGTGCTTTTAGTTGAACTGTAGTTTCATTTTGACCAAGTGGATTCTTAATTTTAATTTGTATAGGTGATTCATCTTCAGGTGTAATATCATGAATGATTAATTTAGTTACTGTTGAACTTTCTTCGACTATTTCATATTTATTTGACGATTTTATTGATTGATCACGATGAATCCTTTTGAAAAGAAAAATTTTAATTAATAATTCATTGAAAACAGAACTTTACCATTCAATTTCTGGTTTTGGTGAACCTGATACATCAATAAGAAAAACAGCATCTGTATGTAATAAAGCTTCGACATCAGTTGGTTTTTTTGTTATTTTTGGTCCAGCTAAAATCAATAACTGAAATAAAAATTTTCAAAAACAATAATTGCTTACTTTTAACTGAACATTGAACACTATCTTCAATTGAACCTGATGGATTTTCAGCTTTAACAGTAATTTTTCCAGCATGTTTAGGTAATGTTTGTTTGATAGTTAATACAGATGTACCAGTTGTTTGATCTGTATGTACATCAAATCCATCTTTAGGTGTTATTGGTTTACCTTCAAATAACCAAGAAATTTTTGCTGCTGGATAAGCATCAATTTTTGCACGAAATTCAGCTAAATCATTTTCATTTATATCAATTGATGTTGGTTTTTCAAGAAATTCCGGAGATTTTGTTATAGTTAATTTGCCTTTTTTAGATTTAACTGTACCACCTGAATTTGTGATTATAGCTGAATAATCACCTTGATGTTCAGGTTTACATTTATTAATTTTTAGAATATATGTATCTGATGAAGTATCATGAATAAGTTCATAATCTTGATCTGTTGAAAGAATTTCTTCAGTATCATTTTTAAACCAACGAATTGTTGGTTGAGGATTTCCTGTTGCTTTTATACTAAATTGTACTGATTCATCACGAATAGCAGTCATATTTGTGATATCAGATAAAATTTGTGGTTTAATTTCTTTAACAGTTAAGTTTATTTTTGAATCAATTTCACCAATTTTATTTGTTGCACGAGCAATATATGCTGAACTATCGGTTAATTCAGTCTTTTTTAATTTAAGTATATTTGTACCATCAGGTAATTCACTTATTTCAATATTATCATTTGATTGTAATGGATTATTAAGATCATTGGCTTTATACCTAATTAAGAAAAAAAAACATAGGAAAATCAATGAATGAATGAACCATGTGAATTATACGAACCAAGCAATAGTTGGTTTTGGTATAGCAATGAATTTAGTACGTAATTCTGCAGAGTCATTGATTTGAACCGTAACATCATTGACTTTACCATCAACTTTTGGTTTAGCTGAAATAAAATAATGAATAGAATAATTAGATTATATAAATACACAGGATATGCCGTAAATATCTTTATGATAAAAAAATATGTGATTATCTCTTCTATGTTGGAGGGTATCTCCGCGTTTCTGAAGAATGACTGATCAGAAAAATTGGAAATTCTTAAAACAGATAGATCTTCACGAATAGAACAAAAGTTGTCATCAACTTGAAGTTCTCGGATGCTGGTATCTCAATGGCGAAAAATGGCTCGCTCTGTGTCTCCGAGATGTTATGTTCGATCGAGCTGAATATTTTTTTCACAAGCACTAGACACTGCTTGGTGTGGATATATTATTATTTTTGCCCATCGAAAGTACCCTTAAAAACTTATGCTTTCTTTCGTAAGAGTTATCAAAAATCAATAAAATATTTTTTTTGCAACAAAAACAAAACATTCATTCCACACAGTGTATAGCATATGTGAAAAAAGTTTCAGTGCGATCGAACATATTGGACTGGAGAAATGATGAGGGTGTTTGCATACTTTTTTATAAAAACATTCGTTTGAAAAAAACGCGAAACAATGTAACATATTCGCTAATTCGGTTTCTTCTCGATTTTTTTAACGTTTAAAGACAATCTTTGGATACTCATCAGATAGATACAAGTTCTGATCATACAATGACCATAAAAAACCTTACATTTTAGGTCATGAAAGCGAAAGATGTCTTTAATTCTAATAGGTTGTTTCACCATTGACTTTATTAAAGATTTGTGAGAGTTTCTGTGATTCAAAAAATATCATGTAAAGTATATTCGAAAGGATAGTTTCAGAGCGCAGTGATGGAACTAATTTCTGATGTGAGTCTTAGTGTTACCAAAGAGAAGACTAATTCATCCGTATCCACAGCCGTCATCTTCTATTGCGAAGAGAGATTTATTTTATTTCGTAACCTTTTACTCAGCAATCAAAATCTTGAGCCATCCTCTATCATTGATTAAGAAAAATAGCCTATTAGAATTAAAACATAGAGCAGATATCCAAGCTTGTTTTTATCATAAAGGCATTTACGCGACACTATATATATATATTTCTCATAACATACTGCAAACAGAAATATGTGCTTTTGTTTCAATAGTTCCATCAGGATTTGTTGCAACACATTTATAAACACCTTCATCAGGTAAATCAACTTTAGGTAATGTTATTGTATGAATATTTTGTTTTGATTCAATTTTAGTCTTGGGTGTATTTTTAAGTTCTTGATCATTAAAATACCTATGTAAAAGAAAAATAATAAAACAATTACTATCAAACATAATAGTTGTTTCTTTTCTTTTTACCATTTAACTGTTGGTTTAGGTATTCCATTTGTTTCAACAGTTAATACACATGATGATTGTGCAAGTATATCTTGATCTTTTAATGATTGAACAAATTCTAATGGTGCTTTAACTGTAATTGTTGAATTGATTTCTTTTTGTCCAACTTTATTTTTAACTAATAATGTATATTTAGCTTGATTTTCTGTTTCATCAAGTGATTTAATTAATAATTCACATGAACCATCTGTTGTTGATGTTATTATATGTCGATCATCTCCTTTAAATTCTTTACCATTTTTAAGCCATGTTATTGTTGGTTTTGGTCGACCACCAATTATATTACATTTAAGACTAACATCTGAACCAATTGGTTGAGTTACATCACCAAATGATTGATCAATTAATGGTTGTTCCAGAACAATTAATTGACCCGTTGAATCAACATGACCAAGAGGATTTTCAGCTACAACACGATATTTACCTTCATCGGTTGATTTAACATTTTTAATTATTAATGTATGAGTTGCTTTATCTGATTCAATAATATGATCATTATCAGATGTAACTGGATGATCATCTTTTGTCCAAGATATAGTAGGTGTTGGCGAACCTGCAATATCAACAACAAAACGTATTTCATTATCGATCATAACTTCTTGATCAGTTAATTTCTTTGTGATAATTGGTCCAGCTAAAAGAGAGAACAATATGTTTCAAATAAATGAATGTCTTTGTTTATTCTTTTCAAGCAATTTACTTTGAACATCAAGTGTTACTGATGCATCAGTTGTACCAGCTGAATTTTCAACTCGACAAATAAGTTCACCAGCTTGCTTATTAGTTGCTGCTTTATGTTTAAGTGTAATATGACCAGTTTTAGCATCATATTGACTTTCAAAACCAAGATCAGGTGTTAATGGTTTACCATTTTTAAGCCTAAACCAAAATAATAAAAAAATTTATATTGTAATTTTTGTTTTTGGTTTTATTTAAATAAAAATCCTACCATGTAACTTTCGGTTGAGGATAAGCATCAATTTGACCATCAAATACAACGGATTGTCCATCATTAACAGTTTGTGATTGTGGTAATTTAATAAATTCTGTTTTTTTCTGTACGATAACTTTTGTTTTCTTTGATTTAATTGTACCACCTTGATTTGTTGCTTGAACGGAATATTCACCTTGATGTTCTGGTGTTGAATTTTGTATAAATAATGTATATGTTTGTTTATTATCAAATTTGATTTCATAATCTTTATGAGTTATTGTAGTTATTTCATCATTACCTTTAAACCATTTAATTTGTGGTTGTGGTATACCAGTAATTTCAATTTGAAGTTCAATTGGTTGATTTTTTTCAATTATGTTTTGATCTTGTAAATCTCGTATAATAGTTGGTTTTATTGAATTAACATTTAAATTCATTTTAGCATCAATTTCACCAAAACGATTTTTAGCTTTACATAAATATGTTGCTTTATCGTCCATTTGTGATTGATTTATATGTAATGAATGAACATTTGGTTGATTTTCTTCAATAGTTATACGTTGATCTACTACTATTGGAACATTATCTTTAAACCAAGTAACTTCAGGTTTTGGAAAACCAGAAAATGTACATTGAAGAACAGCTGGTTGTTCAACAATAACTGTAGCATCAACAGGTTTACCTTCAACTTTTGGTTTACCTTAAAGAAAACAAAAAATGCATGTAAAGAATAAAGAATAATATTGATTAATACATACTGCCAACAGTAAGAGTACAAGTTGTTTCAACTGGTGTTCCAGTACCATTATCTGCAACAGCTTTGTAAACACCTGTTAAAAAAAATGTTGAGAATGAAATATTAGAATTCAGATAATTATAAATAATACATTAAAAAAATTGCAACTATAAGAAGCTTTTAAAATCTACTTATCAAAGATAGTCGAACCGTAGCTAATTAAATAGTGGACATTATTCGCCTTTTAAAACAACGAATCCGTTCAAATATCGTATTATGTGATAGAACGCATTATTACTGTAAAGTGTCAGTTATATATTGGTAACTATTGCATGGCGATCGACTTTTCAAAATATAAAAATTTTACTTAAGTTCTTAACTTTGGATAAATGTTTTCACGATAGTCTAACATATAAGTGGTGTTTAAAACGTAATTCGGCAAATATCTATTCATTCTTTTACTCTCTCTTAAAAGAACTTTTAAAAATTTGAATCAAAATTTTATACTGCTTCCAAAGATCAGTTCAACATTTTTGTAAAACTTTTTAGAGATGAGAAAACAAAGTTTGAACTGAGGAAATTAATTTTTTTTTTCATATAATTAAAAGCGAGATTGTTCCTCATAAAAATGATATAAGAATCAAGAATTTGAGAACAATCATTTAAGAGTGATCGAACAACTGTTAACAAATGACTTACAGCAAACTAATTACTACATAGTCACTATTTTATAGAGAAAGGTTTGGTCTTTCACTCTATATAATTTGAAATAATGTTCGATTATGTTTTGAGTAAATTTTAACGTTCTGAAATTCGTCCGAAAGTAAGCTACCACCTTCCAGAAGAATTCCGCTCACAATTTCTAAACGAAGTATTGAACAAAAATTTGGAATTCTTATGCGGATAGAACATAAAATTTTGATTATAATCTCATGCTTTTCAATCCCAGCAGACTTCTTTCAGAGCCTGAAAAATAAATGAACATTTTCTAAAATTATTTCTCTATTACTCGTTATTTCTATATGTTCAATTCAATAGAGCTTCTGATATTTATTCATTGACAATTGTCTGAACTAAATTGTTTCGAAAACATGTTAAACGCGCACTACGGATATATACATACCAGCATCAGTTTGATCAGCACGATTAATAGTTAATGTATGAATATTTTGTTTAGCTGTAATAGCTTGTTTTTGTGTTGATTTAAGTTCAATATCATTAAAAAACCTATAAAAATAAAAATATGATTCATTATTTTTTTTCACTAGACAAAAAAAAAAGAATTTACCATTTAACATTAGCTTTTGGAATACCTTGTACTTCACAAGTTAATGTAGCATTTTGTGTATTAAGTACATCAATATCTTGTAATGGTTGAATAAATTTTAATGGTGCTAAAACTTTTAAATGTCCATCAGTTTGATTAGTACCAACTTTATTTTTAGCTATACATGAATATAAACTTTGATCTTCTTCACTAACATCTTTTATTATTAATTTTGCATTACCATCTTTGTCAATAGGTACAATAGAATATTTTTTCTCATCAGATTTTATTTCTTTTCCAGCTTTTAACCATGTTATTGTTGGTTGTGGTGTACCAATAACTTTAATATTTAATTCAATAGTTTCTTTAGCAATAACTGATGTATCTTGTAAACCATTAAGAAAATTCGGTGCATGTATAACATTAAGTTTAGCTTCAGTTTGAGTTTGTCCAAGTTCATTTGTTGCTTGTGCACTATAAATTCCATGATCATCTAATACAGTATTTTTAATCACAAGTTTATATTGATTTGTTGTCGAATCATATGATATATCATATTTATTTGGTAATGAAGATAATGGTTTACCATTATAAAACCATTGAATATTTGCTTGTGGTGATGATTGAAATGCACAAATAAATGTTGTATCATTATTTGTAATGACTTCTGTATCTGTTAAAGGTTTAAGAAGAATTGGTGGCGAACGAATATTAATATTAACTGTTTCTTCAGCTGTACCAATTGCATTTTCAGCTTTGACAGTTATTAAACCAGCATGTTTTGTTGTTATATTTTTAATAGTTAATGTAGCAATACCTGTTTTGGTATCAAATGTTGTTTCATAACCATCTTTAGGTGAAACTGGTTTACCAGCTAATAACCATGTTACTTTTGCTTGTGGTAATGCATCGATTTGACAATCAATTTTACATGTTTCTGTTTGATTAAGAGTTATTGTTTCGGGTTTTCTAATAAATGTTGGTTGTTTTTGTATAGTAATTTTACTCTTTTTTGATTTAACGAAACCAGCAGCATTTGTTAATTGTGATTGATATTCACCAATATCATTTTGATTTGAATTTTTAATAATAAGAAAATATTCATTTGTTGTTTTATCTTCTTTAAATTGTATACGCTCATCTGTTGTTGATGTTAATTCAGTATTATTTTTAAACCATTGACATGTTGGAGTTGGATTACCAGTACCAGATATTGATAAAATAAAAACTTCATCTTTAACACCAATATATGTTGCATTAAGATCACGTGTTATTGTTGGTTTAATTGCTACAAATAAAAAATAAGAATAATCAATAATATCTGTCACTTTCTATGATGTTCTCTGACTAGCGCGTATATGAAAGATTTAAATTTTTACTTCGACATTTCAACAATTCATTTAGATCATATTTTACAAAACAAAAAAAGATTTACAAAACTTTCTTTGACTTACGTTTAACATTTAAGTTTGCTTTTCCTTCAATTTCACCAGCAATATTTTGTAATTTGACGGAATAGACTCCTTTATCATCCATAGTTGTATTATTAATTGTTAATACAGATAATGTTGCTGTTTCTTGTGTAATTATATATCGTTGATCATCAGTTGGAATTACTTTACCATCTTTATACCATGTTATAGTTGGTATTGGTTGGCCAGAATATTGACATTGAATACGAGCATTTTCACCAATATTAATAGCAATATCAGCTAATTTATCAACTTTTGGTTTTGTACATACATTTACTGTAGCATTTGCTTGAACTTTATCAACTGAATTTTCAGCAACGACAGTATATTGACCATCATCAGCTGTATCACCTTTAAGAATTGTTAATGTATATATACCATCTTTTTTAGCTTCAATTTGATGTTTAGTTGCAGTTGATTTAAGTGGTTGACCTTTGAATAACCATGTAACTTGTGGTTTTGGATTACCAGTTATTTCAGCAGTAAGAGTAACTGATTGAGCAACAAGAAGAATTGAATTAATTGGTGATTTGACAATTTGTGGAGGACCTTTTTTGTTTTTTGCAAAGAAAAGAATTTGTAGAAATTTAGTTTAGAAAAAAAAGTGTGTTCTATTACAGTCTTTTTGGAGCTAAAATGTGAAACTCACATATATATTCTTTAACTTCATTATACTAATACAAAATGCATCAAGTGGGAAATCTCTAGCAGGCTTTAGTTGTTTTCGAAGGATTATTGATAGTCAAGGAAACAATCAATTTTATATATTTCTGAATTTGCCTCGTTTTTTGTTATACATATCTATATAATATCTACAGCATATTCCACTGCACTATTATGTATTCTGATAACTTCAGAAAAATTGACATTGATTAATACATATGGATTGGTTTCTGATCCTCGTTGATATGAGGGAAAGTTGTAAAGTCTCGATTTAAAACTTATACTCACTATATTATTTTTTCACAAAAATAAATAGAAATAATCTCTAATCAATTCTATAGACTTATTTTATTTATTTTTGAATCGTTTACAATGATTTTTTTTCTTCGTTCGCTTATCTTTTAAATTCGAAATAATTTAAGAAAAGAATTCTTTTAAATACATACCTAATACTTCAACATGACCTTCTGTTTGTACATCTTGATATTTAGCTACATAAACACCTTTATCTTTATCTTCTAGATGTGGTATAATTAATTTATGTATTAAACCATCAACTTCTTCTTTAATATCAGTTATTAATTTATCATCTTTAAACCATTGTAAAACAATATTTGGTTTATTAACTGAACAGTGTAATTCACATTTATCACCAAGTTTTATTTTAAGATTTTTTAATTTATCTACAAAATCAAATGGTTCTTCTTTAACAAATAATTGTGCATTTGTTTTTGTTGCTTCATCTAATACACATGTTATTGCAGAATTATTTTCACTTAATAAACAATCTTTTAAATTAAGTCGACGTGTTTTACCAATAGATAATGTTTGAGCACGTTCATTAGATACAGGTTTATCATTAATTAACCATGTTACAGATGCTTCAGCTTCAGATACATTACATTCAAATGTTGCATGTTTACCTTCATTTACAGTTACATTTGTTAATGGTTTAGTAAATGTAATAAGACCAAGACGAGATACTTTACGACCTTTTGCTGTTGTTGATGTTGATGCATTTAATCCACGTCCATCATCACCTTCTAAACCTTCATTATCATCAATACCTGCACGTGAACGACGAGCAGCTAATTCACTTGGTGATAAACCAACGAGATCAACAGCTTGAGGTTTATCATATTGTGTAACTTCTGCTTCACCAGTTAATTCAAAATGTTTTAATTTATATTGCCAACCAGGATCAGTAGGTCCTTTTGCTGCAGCTTTACCTTTCTTCAATTTACCCCAATCTGGTCCACCGGCACCTGCTCGTTGTAAAGCTTCCCTACAAATAATACAAAAACATATAATATATATTTCTACTTGAATTTTTCAGGGTAAAAAAATTATTTTAGAGTTATATAGAAGAAGAACATCCCTGCCGTATAGTATAGTATGCGACCTAGCAATAGATTCATTAGCTCAATATCGTTCCTGCAACTAATATAGAGAAGATCGGTCTGACACAGATTTCTTGCATTCAATCGCTTGAGCTCACCATATACACTATCTAACCATAAGAACAGTTGTATGTCACAACTTAGTCAACATGTTATCGAACAGATCATGCGAGAAAAATAGCTCTTAGTGATTTGCCTAGAGTTATTCCATGGCTGATGGTACCGAGTTTTGAACATAGTACCCATCAGATAAATGTCACAACAACTTAACCGTTCAGCCATGAAGGTCGCGAATTATGTAAACGATTCAAAGATTAATATGGAACTTAATTATTTAATCTTTTCCAGCCGGCAATTTCTCAAATACAGCAAAAAATGTTGCCATATGGCAACATCCGTTTGGAAAGGGCTACGCATAGACATATTGTTGAATACTTACATTTTACGTAGAACACTCTTATAATCAATAACTTCTTCTGGTTTAGTTACAATAAAACATGAAACTGGTTTTGTTACAGTTGCATGTGTATTTTGAATTGTAACTGTATATATTCCAGTATCAGCATCTGAACATTGATTTATTTCAAAAAAATGTGCATCAAGTTCATCATCATAATAAAGTACATATTTCGGTGTATTTTCTGTAAATGTTTTTGTTTTGCCTCTTGACCATACAACTATTGGATATGGATCACCACTAACTCGACAACCAAATACAGCTGTTTGTCCTTCCAAACAGCTAACTTTTTCTGGTGAATCAACAAATGTTGGCGCTTCACCAGAAACAGTTACTTTACATTTTGTTATCTTTTCTCCACCAGGATTTTTTGCACGACATTCATATATGCCAGTATCACTTTCTTGACAATCATTTATTGTTAATGTCCATATAGTTGTACGTGGATCAAATACAATTGATATGCGATCATTTTCATCAAATATTTGTCCATCTTTAAACCATGCTAAACGTGGTAATGGTAAACCACTAGCTTTTATATCAAGTTTTATTATTCCACCAACGGGAAATAAAGAATCATTTAAATTTTTAGTAAAATTTGGTGCAGATAATTCTAAAAATATAAGCCAAAAAAGAGATATTAGCACAACCCTTGTGTAGCCAAGATGTGAAACACAATGCGGCTGTTGCTGTTTTATTCTATTTATATTGGGATTCGTTTCTTTACTATTCTTTTACTTAATCTTTCAGAAATGCAAAAACAAAGTAACTCAAATATTAAAATGAGACGCTGTTTACATATGATCTATGATGAAGAAATCTGTCGGAGAGCACCTAGTGTACAACAAAGTGGACACTAAGTGAAAAAATGAAAGTGTACTTGTTTTTGTTTTTAGGTTTGAATATTATCTTGTACAGTTTGACTAACATCCCGTTTTTTAGTATAATCTTTAAAGAAAACACCATTTTATTTTGTAAAAAATAAGAACGATTGCACAATAAATTATATGCAATCTGAAACTAGGATTTCTGCTCTATCGATTTAAAAGTAAAATTCTTGTTTTGAAAAAAATAGTTATTCGTTTTTCGAAAAGATGTCTTCAGTAAAGTCGGCCGCCACATTTTTCAATTAATTCAATCTCAACGAAACTTTAAGAGAATATTCTTGTATATTTGAGCCATACATCCGGTTAGCGCAAATGCTTCTGGGCGGAAATACAAGTTTTTCGCGACCTTTTTCTCACGGAAGCATTTTGAGAGAAAAATAAAGATATATTTGGAATTAGCGTAAAAAAACCATATCGAGTGATATATCATATTTGTATCTATTTTGGAACACATTTCTTCACCTTTGTTTTTTTTATCCTCCAGTAATGCAATAAATAAGCTATTATTATATTATAATGAGATGTTGTTGACATACGGTTTTTGATCATACATCAACAACTTTTGTCATGCTCTTTGATATTTTCATGGTTAAATCTGTCAGCATATGCGTGTGGGTCTAGATTTTTACTTCTGTCCTTCAACACTTCTCTTCGATCATATTTCATAAAACCTCTATGTTACATTAAAAATTGTAAAAAAAAAAGAAATAACATACGAAATAATGTTAATTTTCCAACACATGATACTTGTCCAAGAGAGTTTGTTGCTGTACATGAATATGAACCAGCATCAGATCTTTTTGCATTTGCAATAGTGAAAACATACCATCCGTCTTTAAGTTCTTTTAATGAATAACTATAGAAAAACAAAACAATTCACTATAAAATAAAAACCTATTTTTCTAAACAATCTTACCGTCCTTTTACATCAATTGGATTTTGATTAAACGCAAATTCTAACTTTGGTTTTGGATATCCAGCAACTTGAACACGTATATCAATATCACAATTTTCTACTCCTTCTAATTTTTCTAATTTGTTTAAAAATATTGGAGCCATTTCAATAGCTAATGTTGCAGATGTTTTAACTTGTCCAAATGAATTTTGTGCTGTACATACATAAAATCCTCCATCATCTAATTGAATATTTTTAATAACTAATGAATAAATGCCTCGTTTTTCTTCAGCAATCATTCTTCCAGCATATAAACTAAAATCAATAGGTATGGCATTTTTTGACCAAGTAGCTTTTGCTTCAGGAAATGCATCTATACGTGTTTCTAATCGTGCTGTACGTTTCATTGGTACAAATAAATCTTTTAATGGTTCAACTATAATTGGTGGTGATGATATACGAACAATAATTTTTCCTGCTACACGGCCAACATTATTGGTACATAAAACTTGATACTCTCCAGCATCTTGTACAGATGCATGTTGTATACGTAATTGATGATTATTACCATCTGATGTTATTTTATATTTTGAATTTGTTGTTAAATCTTCAGCTAAATGTGACCATTTAACGACAGGTGATGGTAAACCAGTAACTTCAATATTTATTTCACAATCTTGTCCATCAACAACAGTTATTGTTTCAGGTATTTTAACAATCGTTGGTGGAATTTGAACAAATACTTGAGCATCTGATGTACTTGTTTCATTACCTAACGTTGCTTTTATACTATAATAACCAGCATCAGATGCTAATGCTTGTTTAATTGTTAATACATGAATGTTTTTTCCTTTCATAGATGGAATTATACGATCTGATTTAACAATAGGTTTATTATCTTTCATCCATATGATTGTTGGAACACCATTTCGAATATTAACTTCACAATCAAGAGTAAGTGGACGTCCTTGATTAGCAATTGCATCACGTAATGGTCGTACGAATAAAGTACTTAGACCTTAAAAAGAAAAAATTAAATAGAATAATCATAACGTTCTTTTCTTGAACTTACCTGTTATAGTAAGATCAATATCTGCTGTAATTTTTCCAGCAGTATTAACAGCTGTTGCAACATAAGTACCAGCAACATCAGCAATAGCTTTTTTAATTAATAAGTAATGTGTATCATTATCAGTACGTAATTGATAAAGTTCATTTGATGATATAGTCATACCTTTTCGAGTCCATGTAACTAAAATATAAATTATGTAATTGTTTATTTATAGATTACATGATAGAATAATGAATGGTAGGCACGTTAATTCTATATTCTGTCTTGTTTTCTTTTTCATCATATACATTCCTATCTGTTGTGAAATCTAGGATTGTCTTATCGATAATTTTTTTTTATCAAGATCAATATTCGAATTAGATGACAAGATAGTGTTAAATATCCGTAAGAATGAATTATTTTCTCAGTAAACAATATAGTTTAGACAGTTTACCCTACTGTTGAGTCATTTATGACTCATTCAGAGAAACTATTTATTTATGGTAATGAAGCATCGAATCGAGATGACTCTCGAATGTTTGGACACAGTCTTCAATAAGCTACAAATTTGTAAAAAAAAATGTTAAGCTTGGTTTCATCATTCTTTGACTAACGAGGAAAGTCTCCTAACAGATTAATTGCTTTTAAGTTGAAACTATGTGCACAACAATTATGAATACTCTGAAAAGTATTCGAACCCTTAGCTGATTGCTGCGAAGATGCTGTATTTTTTAACTAAATGCTACGTTCTTTTCAAGAACATCAGAAAAACTAATTGTCGAATTTCGACTTGAAACACGAATATTGAAGTCTGTCGGTGTGTATGAGTGATACAAAAGAAACACTTTAATCGTAGCCGTATCTTAGGATATGAAAAACAAATGATCTGAAACTTTTACAATAAGCTGTTTTCATTAAGATCTCTCTGTGCAAAGTTTCAAGTCGAAATTTGACAGCCAGTTTCTCCCATGTTTCACATGGTGACTACAATACTTAGTTAAAAACTACCGTGATATTTCCAGTATCTCCAATGCAATCAGCTAAGGGTCCTAGCGCTTTTCAAAATATTCATAGCTCATTATGTTCATAATCTACTAGCAAAATAACTCATCTTTTACACTTGTTTGGTCTCGTCATCTAGAATTCTCTGTAAGATTTCATTCTATGTTTTTAATTGTTTTTTGTTTGAAAGAGAATGACACGATGCAGTCTGACATACTCTTTCAAACAAAAGATGTTAGGTATGTACAATGAAGGCCTACAAAATATTTTGAGCTGCCAAATAACTTATTTTTGACTCTTATTTGTCAAATATCTGCTTTCAACATGATGGTATAAGACAAAAAATGTTACCATTGTCTCTTAACTACAACTCCAATATGTCCTGAAATTTTCATGTGATTTGAATATACTCAGCCAAAGATCGAGCTTTGAGAAGAGGGAGGTGGTGCTTTAAGAACAATTACATGTTCTTCGATATCATATGTCAAAAAGTTATTTTAAACAAAAGTTAAAAATAAAATACCTGTTGGTGTTGGTGCACCCGAAACTTTAACAAAAAATTCAACACTTTCATCAGCATTAACTTCCTTTGATTGTGATTTTTCAATAATTTTTGGTAAACGTTGTTCACCAGTTATTTGTAATTGTACTTCACGTTGAATTTCTGCTAAAGCATTTTTAACAAGACATTTTATTGTACCAGTATCAGCATCAGTTATATTATTAATACGAAGAATAAATAAACCACGTTCTTCAACAATGGATATTTTACCACCTNAGCAGGTTTCGGTTCTGGTTGTTCGACTTTTTTCCCTTTCTTTTCTTCGACTGGCTTCGCCTTCTCTTCAGGAATCTGTTTTGGTTGTGCTTCTTCAGGTTTTTTGGCTTTTTGCTCCTCGACTGGTTTCGCTTTCTCTTCTGGAGCAGGTTTCGGTTCTGGTTGTTCCACTTTTTTGCCTTTCTTTTCTTCGATTGGCTTCACCTTCTCTTCAGGTGCCGGTTCCATTTGTGGTACTTCAGGCTTCGGATGTGTTACGTCATGGATAAGTTTGCCCTTCTCTTGAGAAGCCTCTTCCGGATGTGTTTGTTTTGACTGCTTCGGCTTTTCTTGTTCGGAGTGCTTAGGTTTCTCTTCTGCAGCCGGGTGCTGTTGTATTTGTTCGACAGGTTCGACTTTCTGTACTTCAGTGGGTCGTGTAGTCGGTTGTTGTTGTATCTGTTCAATCGTTTCGATTTGTTGTGCATCGACTAATTGCGTTTTTCGAGTCGGTTCTGATTGTATTTGTGGAACCGTTGCGCGTGGTGGCACTTCGCCTTGTTGCCCCGTTAGAGACGTTTGCAATTTTATTTGTTCAATGACGTCCACTTGTTGTACTTCGACCATTTGCGTCGTTGAAACCAGTTGTTGTTGTATTTGTTCAACTGGTTGCAGCTCTGGAGTCGGGTGTAATTTCAGTTGTTCAGTTGTTTCGATTTGTTGTACTTTCACTGGTTGCGGTGTCGCAGTCGGTTGTTGTTGTATTTGTTCGATTGTTTCAATTTGTTTTACTTCGATCATTTGCGTTGATGGAATCGGTTGTTGTTGTATTTGTTCAATTGGTTGCAATTTTATGTGTTCAATTGTTTCGATTTGTTGTACTTCCACTGGTTGCGGTGTTGGAGTCGGTTGTTGTTGTATTTGTTCAATTGTTTCAATTTGTTGTACTTCGATCGTTTGCGTTGATGGAATCGGCTGTTGTTGTATTTGTTCAATTGGTTGCAGCTCTGGTGTTGGTTGCAATTTTATTTGTTCAATTGTTTCGATTTGTTGTACTTCCACTGGTTGCGGTGTTGGAGTCAGTTGTTGTTGTGTTTGTTCAATTGTTTCAATTTGTTGTACTTCGATCATTTGCGTTGATGGAATCGGTTGTTGTTGTGTTTGTTCAATTGGTTGCAATTTTATTTGTTCAATTGTTTCGATTTGTTGTACTTCGATCGTTTGCGTTGATGGAATCGGCTGTAATTTTATTTGTTCAATTGTTTCAATTTGTTGTACTTCGATCGTTTGCGTTGATGGAGTCGGCTGTTGTTGTATTTGTTCAATTGGTTGCAGCTCTGGTGTTGGTTGCAATTTTATTTGTTCAATTGTTTCGATGTGTTGTACTTCCACTGGTTGCGGTATTGCAGCTGGCTGTTGTTGTATTTGTTCAATTGTTTCAACTTGTTGTACTTCAACCATATGCGGTGTTGAAGTCGGTTGTTGTATTTGTTCAACCGTTTCGATTTGCTGCACTTGGAGTAGTTGCGTTGTTGAAGTTGTCGACTGTGGCTCATCACGTTGTGAAACTTTTCGTGCATCAGCTAACTCCAGGGCAGGTTGTTCGAGTGTTGTTTGCTTTTGCTCATCGATAATTTCCATGTGTAATGCTGCTGCTTGCGCAACTTGTTGCTCTCCTATTGCTTGTGATTCTGGCTTTTGTAGCGATTGTAGCGTCTGTTCATAAGCTGGATTCTCTGTCTGTTGTTCAGGTTGTGGAACTTGTTTGTCTTCGAGTGACTCTGGTTGCTGTTGTATAGTCGGTTCCAGTTTAGGTTGCTCAACTTCTTCAAGTTTTAGCTGTTCAACCACTTGCGGTTGTTGTTGCTCAGTTGATGTAGTCTTGTGGAGATCTACCAATTCGACTGTTGATTTTTGCTCTTCTGTTATATGTTCTTCAGTTGGTGTCGGTTTGTGTTCTGGTATGGTTTGTAGTGTTTCTGAAAGAACTTGTTTATCTATCTGGTCGATTGGTATTGAAGTTGTAGTTATTGTTGATGCTGTCTTAGTTATATGTACGCCACCTTCGGTTTCCAATGCTTGTAATGCATCATCAATTGTTGATTGTTGGAGTAACGTTTCAGATAGAAGTGATTGTTTTAAGTGATCGGTGTCTAATGTTGATAATTTTACCTGTTCAGCTGTTTCATATTTTTCAACTGATGGTAATATTTCTAGATCAGTTCCTTCTTTTTGTACGGTTATTTCATCAGATTTTGCTGCCTGTTTGATAGATATTTCTGTAACATGTTGAGTTGTATCTTTTGTCTCTGTTGTGATTAGTGTTTGCGTTAAGGATTCTGCTTCGGCACTCATTGACGGATGAAGAGTTTCATAAACCATCGGTTCTGGTTCGTATTGTGGCATTTTAACTTGTTCTTCATGTTTCACTAATGATATTTCCTGAGTTAATTCAGCCATTTGAGTACTCGTTGGCTGCTGCTGAGGTGAAAGTGGTGTTTCTGCAACTTGCATTTGTAAAATAGACTCTTGTTGTAAGAGAACTGCACCTTCAGCAGGTTTTATTTCTTCTTGAATTAGCGTTTTTGATGAAATCTCTTCTGTAGCACTTGTTATTTGTTCTAACGATGTTTGAAGTGGTTGTGGTTCGTCGATAAAAGGTTTCTCCGTTGATGTTAAGACAAGTTCTGGTTCATGAAATTCCTCCAGCTTTTGTTCAACAGCTATATCATGTTGTAACTTTTCTGCTGCGGCAAGAGTGACTGGCTGTTCATGAAATGATGCAATTCTTTTAATTTCGGTTTTCGTCATTTCACTCATAGTTTCTGTTTCGGCGTCAAAGAATTGATCGTGGTCCATCGAAGCAGGTGCTTGTGATGCTTTTCTTACTGATTGGGCTTTTACAGTGTCTTTAGAAACATCTTGATCGACAGATTCAGTTTGAGAAGTACTTGTTGGTGTAGTTTGTGCGGTATCTTCTACTTGGCCGACTCTTGTTGGTTCAAGTGCAGCGGCAAGCACGTCTTGAACAATTTTTTCAGGCACGCGTAGCTTATCTCCATTGATTGCTCCATCAGGCATTGTTGCCAGCGGCAATAAATTCGATTGCACTGGAACAGGCAAAGATTCTACGGATTCTTCTAATAATTTTCCACTTTTGTCAATTAGAGTAGAATGAGAAAGTTGTTCAGCAGTCACACCACCTAAACGGAAATTAACAAAAACATGAGGTTAAATTTATCATATTTTTTTCAAAGTTTAACAACTCATAGCATACCTTGCATATGGTGAATAGCTTCTGTTCTCAAGTCTGCTGTTCGTAAGCTTTCAGATGAAGCTATTTCACTCATTGTATCTAAATATTAAAAAAAAACAATTTAGCCAATTTTTTGCAACATGTATAAAATAAACAGGAATAATACAGAATGGATAGAGAAGAATTTATTTGATCATTATGTTACCATTAAACTTACCTCCAATACGTGAAATGCTGTCAATTGGTATTATTTCGTCTATAACAATGATAGCTTCAGGTTTTTGGTCATCGAAATCTGTCGTTGAATGTGGTATTTCAATATAATCAACGACTTTTTTCGATACAATTTCAAATGGTGCTTCAATTTCTTGTGGCAATAGTGGTTCAGGTGCTTTTTCTATAGTAGCAGAAGACAGTACTTCTTCTGTTGTATGTAAATTGAGAGAAGTTGGTTTTATCAAGGAAACTTGATCTAATTGATCAAGTGATGATTGAATTTGACTATCACTTGATATTTGTAATTCTTCTTTAACACTTTGGTCCGAAGGAACAGTTTCGAGTTGATTAAGTTGCATAGATATATCTTCGCTCTTAGTTTGAGGTACCTCTTCGATTGAAGGTAAAACTTCAACAGCTGTACGAACTAAGACTGATATATCTTCGTCAGTCGCTGCAGGAATATCACTAAGAAATGGTTTCTTAGCTTCAAGTAATTCATCTTCTAAATGAATTGTTTCAATGACTTCATCGACATTCATTGATAATTCTGGCGAAATTGACTTTTCTTCTTCTTCTTCTTCTTCTTCATCATCCTTTTTTCCTTCTTGCTCTTGTACAGAAGGTATCATTTGACGACATCGACTTATCGTTGTAGATTGTGTTTCATCATCATTTTCGATAATTGATGTACGACTTTGAATGAGACTTAGTTGTTCATGTAATTTAGGTGGCATTTTAAGTAAACGTTGTTGTTGAAATCGAATTTCATATGGTACTTCAGCATACTCGTCTTCTGCAGGTGCATATGACAAGTCGGAGACAACTGATGGTCTGTATGTTTTGTATCCTTGCTGTTGTTGATAGCCTTCTAATGAAGTTAAAATTATTTCGTCATGTTCAGTTTCACTTGCTAATACAGATGGAGTGCTGCGTAAAGTGGCTGACACTTTTTTAATATTAGCTGGTAATTTCTTTTCAATGGATTGTGATTCTTCAACTTGAAGAACTTGATCAATATTAATAGCGATTTCATCAAGTGATGACAAATCAGCATCTTGAGATAGTTCTAAAATATCTAAAGCACGTTGTTTTGATTCATCAGATAATTCTTGAGCAGTTGCTTGATGCATTTGGCTAACATTAATAGAAACTTCTTGTGCTGGCTCTTCTAAACCAAGAACAGAGCTATTTGTGCAAATTGAACCAGTAGATGGTTCAATGTCAGCAGGCGCTTTATATTGGACAGATTGTGGTGCATCTGGACGATGAATTTGACCAAGATTAATTGAACTTTCATCCAATATAGGTAAATCTGTTGTAGCACTTAATTGCATTACTGATGATGCTTGTTGTTGAGTTGTGTCAGGTGAAGAAAAATCTTTAGCAATTGGTTGACGTAATTGACTAATATTTACAGGTGTTTCATGTGCTGGTTCTTCACTAATAAGACCGGAAGCCGTTGTAAGAAAAGTACCAACTGATGGTTGTATATCAGCAGGAGCTTTGTATTGAAAAGATTGCGGTGCATCTGGACGATGAACTTGACCAAGATAAATCGAAGTTTCATCTAATACAGATAAATCTGTTGCTGCACTCAATTGCGTTACTGATGAAGCTTGTTGTTGAGTTGTATCAGGTGAAGAAATATCTTTAGCAATTGGTTGACGTAATTGACTAATATTTACAGGTGTGTCATGTGCTGGTTCTTCACTAATAAGACCAGAAGCCGTTGTAAGAATAGTACCAACTGATGGTTGTATATCAGCAGGAGCTTTGTACTGAACAAATTGTGGTGCATCTGGGCGATGAACTTGGTCAAGTCGAACAACTGTTTCATGTAATACCGGTAAATCAGTAATAATACTTGGCTGTATAATTGTTGAGACTTGTTGTTTTATTATGTCAGAAACAGATAAATCTTGAGCAGTAGGTTGAGTAAATTGTGTGGCATTAAACGATGTTTCTTGTGCTGGTTCTTCTTGACTAAGAACAGAAGTTGTCGTTGGAAAAGAGCCAGCTGATGGTTGAATATCGGCAGAAATTTTATATTCAACTGATTGCGGTAATTCTGGTCGTTGAAGTTGACCAAGATGAATAGCACTTTCGTCAAGTATAGGAAAATCAATAGTGATACTTGGTTGTGACACTGCTGCTGGTACTTGTTTAGTACCTCCTGATTCTTGACGACGTAGATGGCTTACATTAACAGGTGTTCCATGAGTTTCCATATCATGACCACTCAGAGCTAATGCACTAGTTCGTAATATAGCAGTTGATTCTTCTTTAACATCAGTTGATGCTTTATATTCGTATGATTGTGGTACTTCAGACTGACGAATTTGACTAATAGAAATGCTACTTTCATCAAGTAATGGAACATGTGGACTGACTTCAGGTTGTTTTACAGCCTCTGTTTTGTCCGATGTTCTAATTGAACCCATAGCTAAACGTTGATGTAAAGGATGTGGAATATATTGTTCATCTTCATATTCATTAGCTGATGCTAATAAACGTGAAACAAGTGAAGCTCGACGAAGTGATGGTAATGCATGAGTATCATGATCGAGAATTAGATCCGACCATTGTTCAAAATTACTAAGAGCTTCATCAAATGAAATAGGTATTGAACTGATAATTTGTGATTCTTTAGTAACAGTTAGATGATCGTCCATCGGTCGAGTCAGTTGTTGTTGTTGCTGAACTGTTAAGACAGTTGTTTGCGGAATGTCCTCATGAATCGGTTTCGGCTCAGTATCGATAAATGACGATGGAAGTTGTAGCCCGAATTGAATTCGATCGGCTGATTCCCTTTCCTGAAAAACAAAATGACACGTAATGATTTCACTTAAACACGATATTATTCAAGTTTTCACTAAATAATATATTAACCAATACAAATAATCGAACGTGGCTTTCAACATTATGATATGATAGTAGTTAATGTAGAAATATTAGTTATATTATAAAACTATCAAATTAATTAGTTTCGCTTTCAAATTTTGCTAGCTGATTCATCATTCGAGAATAGTTTGACATACTTACTAATACACTTTGCCGAAAAAAAAAAGAAGAAACATTGAGTTTTGTCTATCGCATTTCATAGAAAGAAATACAAATATCAACATGAAAAATCTTCTTAAAACCTAACTGTGAGATATTTTCTTATTGTCAAATGTATTTTGCTTCATTTTTTTAATAGATTTTTTTAGCGAAGATCTTCTCTGTAATGAAAGATGAAATCTTTAAAGTATTGCATTGAGACATGTAAAATGTTTTTTTGTCCAATAAACAGTTTGTATCCTATTAACATTTACTGAAGATTAATTCTATTTCAATTAAGATTAATTGATCCATCTTTTTAAAAAACCAACAAATTATCTTTTGAAAAAGTAAAAGAATTACTCGATAGAAACCATTACATAGAAGAATATAGACAAGAATATTTTACGTCTTTGAATAAAAAATTAAATGTTCGTGTTTTTAATAAAACCATTTTGAAATGATTTTAGCAACTGACATATTGAATTCAAATTAAATAACAAAAAAAAAGGCATTATTGAAATTTAATATGAAAAATCGTATGAAGATATCTAAAAAGTTTTATTATATTCAGATTATTATTTGTATTAAAGTGGAATCTCTTACATGTCCGTGTATATATGAGTATCATATATTTCTCTAAAAGTCATTGTCTATACGACAACATGACAACTTCCATACATTAATCAATTGACTGTATATTATAACGCAGCACTTTATTACGGGTGATAATATTTTTGATCACCAAGATTTTTCAGCATTTATCTCGTCTTATCTTTCTTTCTAAAGAGTGTGGGTGTAGATTAGAAGAAGATGCCACACCCACATCAGTATCCACACACACCTTCATTCACAGCTGCAGATGCTCGCACACCCACAACCACACCCTTAATCATACATTGATCTGTTTGATCTCGCAAAACAATACTGAATATGGATGCGGTGTTGTATGTGTTGTGTAGAAGCATCCAGTAAGAGATAATGAAAAATCACAACTCAAAAAAAATTTGGTAATCACAAGTATCTTTTTTTGGTAACCAAAAGTACTTTTTCCTTTATTATTCATATGCATGTGCTATCTCTTCCGTTTTCTTCATTTATGAGTTTCATATGTTTCTGTAAAAGTCATTGACTATACGACAGCATGACAAATTCTATACATTAATCAATCGACTGTACATTGCAACGAGACATCTTATTACACTGATTGAGGAGAGAGGAATAATTTTTCGATAAGATAACGACTTTTCTTACACATCGTGACATAAAAAGAGAAATACAACGAAAAATGTGGCTTATTTGTTGATTAATTATGAAAGCCAGCAGATAATTTAAAGCATTAGATTAGGATAAAAATTATGTACTCTTTCCAAATATATGTTCGGAATTATGAACAAATCTTTGAAAGTTCCGAAAATAAAGTTTGAATAGATTTTCATGGGCGAAAAAGCTATCTATAGTAGAAATAAAATTTATTGCAAATACATTAACAGAAAGAGCAAATGTATCTAAACAAAATAATATCCTAATCATTAGTTTTCTTGACGTTTCATTCAATACCAAGACTTTTAATAAACGAAGTTTTGACATCTTCGAAATTTCTTTATTTCCAGACTTGCAAAATCAGTTTGATTATTTCTAAAGAATTACTAGGAAACTTTTGGTACTTAGCTGACATTATAGAAGATTGTCTTGCTCTTTATTCTATGCAAAAAATTGCAAAAGAAAATATTTAATAAAGACATTATTGTTGTGAAGAACATATGCTGTCTAGATGCCGATCCAAAAATTTTAGAACGCGATACAGTTAAAAAAAAAGCTCTGGGACGACTAATAAAGAAATCTGTTCAGGTATCTCCTTCTGATTTTAATGGTTTTTTACTTACAGATAATAAATAGTATTTTAATAAAAATTCCTAAACGAATTTGGGTTTCCATTGAAATTTGACTAACGTAAGCTATGGAATTTTTTTTACTAGAGACTACAGGTTTTCGAAAAGCTAGTATTCTCCAGTTTTGTTCTGAAAATTTGTACAAATGGAAAACTCAACTGAGCTAGCTTTCAGTTCAGAATTTGTGAATAAAGTCTGTCTAAGATATGAAACTTTCAAGATATAGATCCTTTCCCATAAATCGTGTATATAATATGCATTGTTTGAAAACTTCATATATCAAAGAGACTTGGTTGAAAACTTCTGATTTTTTTCTATGGAATCTAGTCTAATTGAATTCTCGATATGTATAAAGTTTTAGAGCAAAATTCAAAAATACGAGTTTTTTGAAAACCTGAAGTCTCTAAAAAAGAGGCCTATTATAAATTCGATAGGTTATAAGAATCTGAATTCTTTTAGGATTTTTATTAAAACACTGTTTAGTATTTATAGGCACAAAATTATTGAAATCACAAAAAGAGCAGCTGAAGAGATACTCTCATAAGCGGAATTAGGCGTCTTTATAATGAAAATAAGAAAGTAGCACACGATCAATTTCGAATGAGATACGATCAGATTTGCTCTTTTCTAGATCGATTAGTTTAACTACTTTAGTACAGACTTTAGTTTTGGATCTTTCAAAAATTAACTCATCATTTCTAGCGTGTGAATTTCACAAAAATACCAAACATATTTTTCGGAAACAGGACAAAATTCTAATTCTAATCCAATGCTTCAAATTTTCTGATGACTTTAATCGAAAACTGAAGAACCGTTTTGTTCAATAACTTTCCCACTATTGGCTACGTCTTCATAGGTTATCCTTATTGATTCGAAGGAAAATTAAGATTAATAAATATATATTCTTAGCATTCAAATTAAAAATATAGAATAAATAATAACAATACCAAAAGATATTTATGCAACTTACAGGTTGTAATTGTTGTTTATCCATCGTAATCTCTGTGTCAACACCTTCAATTTTATATGTAGCTCCAGTATGAATTTGTTCTTTTACTAAATCTTGTTTAGTCTATAAGAAAATCAAAAGAGTAAAATACTATTTCAATAAAACAAGAATAAAATAAAATTTTCTTACAGGTAAACTTGTTGATTGTTCTTCAATTAATGATAATCGTGGTGTTGGTGGGACAAATTCAGTATGAATAATAATCTCTTCTGATGCTCCACCAGGTAAATGAACTTTAAGATCTTCAAATTCTACTGATTCTTCTAGTGGCATATGATGCATCATTGATAAACGTTTATGATATCCACTCATTAAATGTAAATGACTATCATCTTCATCAGGATGTAGCTTACTAATATGAGGTTCTTCTAATGCTTCTTGATATTCTAAATATTTATATATATATATATATTTGTTGAAACTAATTAAAAACAAATATTAAAATATCTATATTTACCTTGTTGTTCGTCATCGATATCTTCCTTATCGACAATAATATGTGTTTGTGTCACAGCATGTCCATAAACATTTTCGACACGAAATATATATAAACCTTGTAATTGAGACTTTATTGAATCAATTGTTAATGTTGATGAATAATTTGTATTAACTATTGATCCATCTTGTATTAGTTGTGGTACAACATCATTTAAATGTTGTACTTGCCATGTACAGTGACATTGTACTGACGGAGAAAAATATTCAACTTGAAGTTGTACTCTGTCACCAGAACGATATCGATAAGTAGATAGAAGGGGTTGTGTTATTGTTGGTGGAATAAAACGATCAAGAGACGTTGCTGATGACCATGAATCACCAGCGCTTAACCCTTGTTGACTTATTTGATCAGGTTGCTCCTCCTTTTCATTAATAAAGCCTAGAATTAGAATAAAATATTTTTATTTTAATTATTATATGAAAAATAATTTTGTGAACAAAGAATTCCTTTTTCTTTATATATGAATATTAATTAAACAATTAATTGAAATGAGACATATCAAAGGTTACGTTTTATTGCTGAGTATAACAAAGGAAGGAATATAGACAATCATATTCTAGAAGATTGTAACCAATGTATAAAGAACTAAATAGTTGCCCTTTCAGAAGAAAAATTCTATATTAAACACTAATTAAAGGTTATTAACGCTATTCTGTTTCCATTACATTAAAGTCTATAAGTTTTATATTAATCTTTAAATACAAAGAATATGATTTGATTCAAATGAATATGAAAATAATATTGAGATTGTCTTCTATACACAATTATCTATGTTTTGATATTCCGAAAAGAAATAAAAATAATAGTATGGTACAAAAAAAAATTGGCTTGTTATTACAGTCAAAGTAATTTGTGCGTTGTTTTTCTCATATCGTTATGCTTATCTATTTATGAAAAAAAAGAAACATTACAAAACAAACAATATACCAATCTTTAGGAGACGCAGAGACAACGAGATTATTATGCATGATGATTCATTTGACTATAATTAAGAATTATTCGAAGATGTATCTAACAAAATATCTTTAATGAAAAAGCAAATCTGTCGTCTTACAATGATGTTACCACATGCATTGCACTATGTAATTAACCATTCTCGGCAATATCTTTTTAACTAATGAATAAGTCAAGTTGAATTTGATACGGCCTGAAAACTATAGCAAGTCTAATACATTAGTGTTCTATGCGGTATTACTAATTGAAAAGAAAAAGCAACTATACATCCTCAAGAACACATCCGATTCTTCTGACGTATTTATCATATAAAATATAGTACTTAAACAAATAATTCTAACTATTCTTCTCATAAAAAATATTATCGTTTTTCAAAAAATAACATAATTCATAGAAAAAAAAAGAAAAGAAAAACTCGATTTCATTTTCAAATCAACACAAATTAGACATATTATCGTCTCTTTCTATACAGAATAAATTCAATATATATGTATCCACAATAAAATAGATCTATTTTCCTATTTCGGAATCTAAATAATAGTGTTTTAATCTAAGATATTTCATAACAATAAAATATTTTAGTTTTTTTTTGTCAATTATTTTTCTTTTGTTTTGAAATTTGCACTCACTGTCAACAAAGAGATAAGCACTAGATTCATCATGATATCTGTGATGATCATAACTAATATAAATCGTATAAACTCCTTCATCTTGTTGTTCACATTGTCGAATATCCATCCAATAAAGATTCTCTTCTGGTATTGAACCAAATCGATATCTTAAAGTATCATCAGTTTTAATATGCATGTCATTTAAACGCCATTCAATATTTAATAAAGATCGATCAATTTGAATATTTGAAGATGTTGATATTAAACGTATTTTAGCTTCAAATCGTGCTGAATCACCACAGCGTACAGTAACAGATTTAAGTTCTTGTTCAAAACCAAATAATATGGAATCATTTGCTTTATTTCCATATTGCTCATCAATATGAACAAATTTTGGTATACGTTCTTCGTCGGATGCCATCGTTTAATTCAATAGAATATTAATGAGACACCCAACCGAATAACAAAAACAACAATATCTACACCGTGTAGCAAACTTATATGATGATGATGATGAATACAAAATGTAGTAAGAAGCAGAGAAAAAAACCGTTGCCGATTATCTACCAATACTACAAACGTTAGATGAAAAAAGAGACTGACAAACTCAATGTTTACTTGGTCATTGGTAGGCAGCTGTAGAGATGATATAATCAAAGAAAAGAAAATCAACAACGATGCTAAATTTGTAGAAAGAATAAGAAAGAAAAAAAAGAAAGATATATATTGCTAGAAGTATTGCAGAGTCATAGGTTGAGAAGCTGTTTCCTCTTTTTCCTATTATCGATAGTTTATACTTGTTCTTTCTTTGCTCTGTTAGTTAATATTGATACGGAATAGAAGGAGGGTGATGACCGATCCATATACATATAGTAGAAAAGTATGCTTGGAACACAAGAATATATATATATATATATATACATATACACAAGCATAATTTATGGTATGAAAGGCTAGTAAGGACAAATGTCGTTGATAGACAATTCTGTTTTTTTTCTTCTATTGCTCATGTCAACGTTAAAGCCAATATAGACAAGTTAATGACAATGAATTTTCCTAGAAAGACAAGGATAGGTGGGCGTAACAGTCGGATACTGATAACAGTTCTAATCATATTTTCATATTACTAGTCACTATACAACGAGTTAATTTACCAATATGTTATCTAATAACAAGGGTACTGTTAGACATTGTCAATTCATCAAAATCAATAGTGAACTGTTTTATGTAAAAAAAAAATTAAATTAAAATGATAATAGAATCAATCAATATCAAAACGAAAACATCCTTAATCTTAGAATAAGATTAAAGTTTGGGTGCATAAATATATATATATATATTCATCTACTGAAAACAAAATACTATTATGTAAGTGAAGTATTATCTCGCATACAAGATGATAATCTTCTTTTCAGACAATGATCAATACTAATTCATAACATATATAATGCTATTTGCAATATGTATTACATAAACTAATTATTTGTAATAAAATTAAAAAAAAATTATTTTACCATATTGTTGTTGTTGTTGTTGTTGTTGTTGAATATCTTCAATAATCGTTGTAGTTCCACTAGATAAATCAGCAATACGAGCATCTAATTCTTCAACAAGACGATGTGATTCTTCATATAAAGCATTTTCATCTATGGATCGATATGATTGTGATCCTGTTATATCTTCATGATCACTTGGTGGACTTGATGCAAATGATGCTGAAGACATTTCACTATCTACTTCATATTGATAATCTACAAAAACAAAAAAATAATAATAAAATGCTTCAAACATAATTCTTTTTTATTATGCATACGTGTTACATCTACTGTAGTTGTTGTATTTGCTGTTCCTTGTTCATTGTTTGCTTCACATCGATATACTCCACTATCATTTGGATAAATATCATGAATAGTTAATGTCGATTTACCAGTTAAACAATCAAAATAAATCTGACGTGTATGTTGTTGTTTATCATTAATTGATATTTGTTGTTCATCTTTAAACCAACGAATATGTATTGGTCGTCGTCCATGTACAACACATGACAATTGTATAGTATCACCATCACGACATGTTATTGGTATTGATGGTAATGGTTTAATAAAGTATAAACGAGTTGATAAATCATCTTCAGGCATAGGTGGTAATTGACGATTTGAAATTTGAACTTGACATGTTGATTGTGCTTGGCCATGTCGATTTGAAATGATTAAGCGATAAATTCCTGTATCAGTAATTATCGTTGGATCAATAATCATAAAACAAATACCAGTATCAGGATTATAATGACGTCGAGTACGAGATTTATTTTCAAAAATAATCATATCATTAATTAACCATTTTATTTGACATTGTATACCAGCCATAACTTGACATGAGAGTAATAAACGTTCACCTTCTTCGCATTCTGTTTTTGATGGAAGTAATTGAAAAAATACTGGACACATGCCTAATGATTCAGTGCCTGTATCAGAACTACTACTTGTATCAACATTTTTTTCCATTGCATGTGTTGAAAGTAATGAATGTGAACGAAGAATTTGTTCAAGATCACCAGCCGATACACTACTACTTTCATCTGATGACGATGGAACTGCTTCTGGTATTGGTGGAAGTAATGTGTCAATTTCATGTAGTGAATCTTTCTAAAAATGTTAAGAATTTCGTTTTGTTGTTTTTTCTATGATGAAAACAAAATGAAAGATTTACTTTGTGAAAAGTTTCTATTTGCTCATTCCATTTGACAGTTTTTGTTGTTTCTTTTTTATTATCAGCTGAAGGTACCAATTGATCACCAATAGTTCGAAATGGTGATTCAACAGGACTAATTGTTAATGGTTGATAATATTGACTTTGACGATCGTTTGTTATTTCATCAATACGAAGACGTTTTGCTTCGATTGGAAGTGTTTGTTCCTGTCGATCATCATCTGTACGTTTTTTAGTTTCCGTTATTAAATGCGAAGATATTATCTAGAAAAATATTAAAAAAAAGCAACAACTCAAAAGATTAAAATTTAATAAATAATTTACTTCATCAGCTGGTAATTGTTCTTGATCATTTTGTTCAATAATAACTTCACATGATGATGAAACATTATAATATGCATTCGATGCCTGACATTCATATGTACCTTCATGACGTTGTTTTGTTGTACTATCAATAGTTAATAAAGCAATAAAATGTGCTGGTAATGTATCATAAGATGCATGAAATACACCACGATCAATTTCACCTGTTATTGTTGTTGTAAGTGACGATGGTGGAGTTTCAGTACAAACAGCAATTAATTCTCCATTTCTATACCATTCAAATTTATCAATATGAAGGCCAGCAATGCGACATGATAGTTGTAATGAAGTATTTTCAAGTGATATTGTTGGATCAAGTAACGGTCGATCAATACGTAATTCATACCAATGTATTGGAAACATATTTTCATCAATAAAAGATGTTTGATTATTTGAGATTAAGAATATTGTACTCGATTTATCTTCATCTAGACAAGAAAGATATAGACTTGTCCTTTTCTTTTTCTCCTTTTTTTTACTATATTCGACAATTGGTTGTCAATCGTCAGATGTACTCAGTATATTATCGCTGGAAAAAAAAACAGATTTTTTTTGCTTTTTTTTCTGCTCTCTAGATTTTTCCTTCTTTTTTTTTTTGGAGAATCAATTTTGTTGTTCTTTCACAGCATGTTATAATATACTATGGATGCAGCGTCGCATGGATAACATGCGTACGTATCTGTGCATGCCGTAACACATTACCACCATCATCGAGAAGAAACGAGAAAGTCAAAGATAGTATTATGGAACAAGGGTGTTCGTTGTTAACATTATGTATTATCAACAGAGCATTATACAGCAGAACAGGATGGAAAAGAAGGACGCTAGAAAAAGACGAAGATAGAAAATGCAGAACTCAATGTGCCATCATATATGCTTCTGTTATCGTTCGTAAAACGGTTCTGAATGACATTGAGGTCATCAAATATATGTATATATGGTAGAGAGAAACTGTATATTATTAAGAAACTTTCTATCTTTCTATTTAAAGACACTAGTGGGAATTAAGAATGATAACTTTTTTATAGCTAAACATCATTGGTTTTCCAATACATCTACACTCTTAATTTAGGCATGGTTCTTTCTTTAGAAAAAACAACCAATTTTTATCTGAGATATAATTCAAGATTGTCTTACTTTCTGATATTATACGTCCAGCTCTTTGAAGTACAGGAATTTTAGTCCAAGTTTTATCCTCTAAATGAATAAATAAAAACAAACAAAAAATCCTTATTTTTTGGTCTTTTTAATGAAATCTATAATCTTACGATTTTCAATTTTTAATTTAATTTCTAATGTTTCGACAACATCATCTATACTTGTTGCTTCACAACAATATAAACCATCATCTGAATACATTACAGAACGTATATGAAGTGTACATTGACCAGTTCTTGGTTGATATCGATGCCATATACGAAAACCTCTTGCTTCAACTAGTTCACCATTTACATACCATACAATTGATTTAACACGTTGATGACGAACATAACACTCAACAAGCACGTTATCACCTGGACGACATGTAAAAGTTTCTGAGAGACGACTTAAAAAGAGTTCACCAGTATCGGTTTGTGGTGTTGCCATTGTAGAAATATGTGCGTGTGACTATTGCAATGGCAAGACTGATCGACTGACTATTCTTCTAATCTATACGATCTATAAAGATGAGGAAACAAAAAAGAAGAAAAAAGTGTGAATAGATTGATGCTAACGACAATAACAAACAGATAGCGGAAAATGTCATCAAATAAAGAACGTAGAAGAAAGATCACACATACGTATAGATATTTCTAGAGCAATAATCACTTGTTCTCTAACAAGATCATATGAATAGAAAAGATTGATATGTCAAGAGTTATCTAACACGAAGGGAGTGAACCGTACCCGCCTACATGATCTCTCTTTATCTCTCTCTTTTTCTATACTAACATCTTACTGCACAATGTTTTATCGTATCTAAGTGTGATTATGTCCTTGGAATGGATGTCATTCTTCTTTTTCTCTATCTGATTTGCTTGAAGAAAAAAACAGAGTATCAATTTTCTATTTTCCTTATTCGTACAATTGTATGATCGCTACCATGTAATGTTAAACGGCAGGTGATTTGTCGCTTATAGAAATATTTGATAGATGAATTGATTGGAGACGAGACACATCGATGTAAAAACTTTTGCTAATATTTATTCGAACTAAAGCATTCCTTTACCATTACCATCATTTAATTATATACGATCCAATAATATTCTCTTTAGTCTCATACAATACATAAGAAAACATATTGTTACGATAAATCAAAATACCGAAGAAAAACAAATAACAACAGGAAGCATCTTTGAATAATACAATATTATTGAGGATCTTTAATGAAAATCGCAGATATTTGGTGACTATATCATTTTCTTTTAACTACATGGGAGGCTAGAAAAAATTTTTCTGAGAGTTTCCTAAAAGCCATAATTTGAGGGCAAATATTCTATTATATTACTTAGACATAATTAGAATTATGTGTAAAATCTTCGTCATGTAGGTATGCATTGTTGTATTTTTTTTTCATTTCTTTAGATTAGTCAAATATCATTTTCGATATGACTTTAATCTCTTGCAGTGTAAAGCAGATTTGAAAAAGAATTAGAGTATTTACCTACTAGTGTAGAATGTGAGCTAGATGTATCCGACCGTTGAGAGAGAGAGAGAGAGACTAGATATACTTTATATCGGGCTTCATCATTGATATAAAAATTGTACTTACATGTAAAATTATAATGTAAAACTGTTCGTGTAACAGTGCAAAAGTCATATAAAAAAAATAGCGTCTGGCTTATCTAAAAACAATGAAAAATATGAAGATGCGTTAAACCTTAAAGGCCGAAGTTTTGCATATAATCTTCAATATGTCTAGCCATTATAATATAATGTGGGCACTTAAGTTATGGCATTTAGGAGAGCTAGAGAAAAAAAACTTTTTTAGTACCCTATGTATAAAAAAGCAAGACTGATTAAATAACAAATGATGCTGAAATAGAGATATATATATGATTAGATCTTCGTATTCTTGCTCGATTTACCACTATTGCAATACTGTATAACTTTTAACAACACCGTTGATTGCATTTTTTTGTCTCGCTCTGCTATTGCTGGCATATATTTAGTTTCTCTCAGACTTATGAGAAAAACTATCCAACTGGTTAATCGCTTTTGAGTCCAGATTTGATGCATCATATAGATTCCCATAAGATATAAATATCGTGAAAAGAATTTACTCTCTTAGCATATTGGAGGCGAGATGCTGCATTTTTATGATATTTTTTTCATCCACCTCCCGTCCCCTCAGGAATACTAGGAACAATTATTTTCGAATTTCGACTCAACACTTTATACAGAGACAGGCCTTCACGAGAACAGTCTATTATAAAAGTTTCAGACGTTGACTTTATTTCTATCTTAAGATGCGGCTATGGTAAATGTATGTCTTTTACGCTGCTCATGTACACCATAGATTCGAAGTTCTTATTGCAGGTTAGGAACAAAGAAAAAATCTGAAACTTTCATAATAGACTATTCTTGCAAAGACTTGTCGTTGTACAAAAGTTTCGAATCAACCTTTGACAATTATTTTCCCTAGTATTCTTGAAGCGGACCATGGAAAAACTATTGTAAAAATATAACATCTCGGCAATCATTACCTAAGGATCCGAATTCTTTTCAGGATATTCATATCTCATTACAGCCTACATGATGCACATGGTCTTCATTCAAAAGTAATTAATTAGTTATAGAGATTCTCTTATTAGTATATCTATCATAATATCAGATAACGAAATTCTTAGACTTTCATATATTCTAAACAACTGATAAGTCATTGACATGATGTGACGTAGATTTTGAGTCGGATAATATTACACAATATCAGTCGAACTTCTGCTTTTATGTCATTTAGGAGAATAAGACCGATTGTCATTTCATTTTATCGTTGTCTGTTAATTTTCAACATAATTGACTTTGACGAACATATCCTCACTATATCAATTGAATAATATTGAGCCAATATTCATGGAAAGCTTGAATATATGTCATTCTAGTCTAGTTCGAGAAAGAAATTATTCAGTATTACTCGCTTTAATTATATTATTGATTGTTGCTAAGAAAGCATAATCTCTTAAGATATAATTAGGACATATGAAAAGTAGTGGCGCCGACACTCTAAAATCCTATGAAAGATTCGAGGAAAAGTTCTTACTACGCATACTGATAGTCCAAATCCTGTTCTATAATTCTACAATATCTTATCATTCTTCAGATGATATTATAATAGCAAAATTTCGATGTGTTTAAGTTTGCTGCTACTTTTTTTTTCAACTTTTCTTCTTGAGAATACACGACAATTAACTACATGTATGCAGAAAACAAACAGCACAGGTGTCTTTACACGTATAAAAACTGATGATTGTTAGACGTGACTAACAAGAGAAGATATGAGAAATGTAAAGAGAAATTAAGAGAAGATCACAAAAGAAAAACAATATGCGTCTAAAAGTCCTACAACAGCAAGTGCTCTTGTACCTTTCCTTCTAAGTTATAGCTATTTTACTGAAATTTGAGACTATCATACGGGGTACATCAATAAATAGATTGACAATATTTCAACCTGAGATGTTGCCCATATACAGATCTACTTGTGAGTAGCCTGTTCTGAAGAATTTCACTCCAAGACAGTGTTTCCTTCGCAAGATATTGAATTTTCAAAAATCTAAGATGCTCACATACTTTGTAGGACATTAATAATTTTTGGAAATTCAATGTCGTGTATTCTTAAGAAGAAATTTCTTTTTAAATTAACACCAGACTTTCACACATTGAAACTGTACTATTATTGTATCACGTGAAGAATGATGAAACACTGCCGAATTATAGAGCTCGATTGGGTCTAGCAGTATATATAGAAAGAAAATTTCCTCGAATCTTCTGTAAGATTTTATAGTGTCAGTGTCATTACTTTTAGTATGTCCTAAGCAATACAATTCAAATTGGCTTGAATCTTTAAAAATTGATTCCAATTAAAAGAATGTGTATTACAACAAGAGTATAGATATTTTTCGAATTCAAAAGATAAATATCGTCTGAGAATGACCGATGAAGGCTATTTTCATTAAAGAGATGTCTATCGTTTCTTTGTTTATCTTAGTTATTGAAACCTTCAACATAATTATATTGCTTTTTTAATAAATGAATACATAAAAATTATCAAATTGATAGTCCTCTAACCTAATTCTGTTTAGATTAAAAACTAAAATGTTAAATATATATAATTACAGATTACACATAAATCAAGCTTCATGTATAGATTTATTTTAATCTATCATCATATGATTTATCGATTAAAAGCATTATATAAATCCTGTCTTGTCTTGTAAAATTATGGACCGGTAATGCCAATGATACAAATGCAGATTTTGTATGAGTATACTGTAATGTGCCTGCGGTTTCAAATTTCAGTAACATTTTTTCGGTACTTGTTTGTTATGGTCGGTTAGGACTCATTGATTTATCTGTATAAATGTTGTTTTTGATATATTTGAAAAATCTTTTTGCAGCGAAACTTAGAAAACCATTAAAAAAACTGAAATATACCAAAAGCGTAACTTATGAGTAACTTCAATATTTATCCGATATTTTTTATTTTTGTTTTTGCTCTTTATATGGCGAGGAAAAAATGGGACATGATTTCATGATGGAGAAAATTGACTTTTTTCTATATGATTGCAAAAACACCATAAGCATTGATTTATATTTAGCATCATCAAAAAAATCTTCAACAAATAGTGTATTCAATACTTAAAACAAGTTTTTGTCAAATTTTGATCCTTACACTCCGTCAGTGTTTTGTTTTTGAATAATTTGACTTGATGATCCTAAATATGATGTTCGCATTTTTGACACAAAAATTCTGAAAGTCAAATTTGGTCGTTATACAAAAAAATAAATTTTCTCAACAATGAAATTATACGCGATTTTGTTCCTAACCAAATGACGAGTTAAACCAAAAACAAAAATATCAGATAAGTATCGAAGCATTTGGTCCATTTCAGTTGAGTCTACTAGAATTAGTCACAATACTCAAAAATCAAATCGACAAAAACAATTTTCTTAGCATTATGGAGACATAATTCAAAGAAGTCCAGAAAATAATTAATAATCTATTCAAGGACAAGAAACATTAGGCATGAGTACGAATATGAATGTTTACTGAATTCTTCTAATTGAGCAGAGAGTCTGACACACGCGTAAATAGTAGTTGCTTTGAAAATGTTCCGTAATTCTCTATAATTATTCTTTATTTTGAAGAGTCAATATTTGATTACCGTTCATCAACAATATCATCTACCAATTCATTCCTTGAAATAAATCTTCATTTTTCACGTGCAACCTTCATCCTCGCGTGGTGCTGTATATGATTGAATCACATGTCTGTAAATTGAAGTATGTGAGAAGTGAAATAGGAACTACGTTACTGTCAATTGTGACTAATATTGTTGTAGCATTCAAAAACTGTTTTAGAGATAAATCGACGAGCTCTATCCAAACGTAAAAAATACATTAAATTTAAAATTTCTGACACCTTATATGTAGTAATGAACTTATATATTCTTGGATCAATAATATTTGTATTCGTTAGATTAGAATATAAGTACGTGAAATGTTCACTTTACTTTAATAATGATGACTAAATTCCAATAAAACGTCAATTAAATTTTTTTTTTAAAATAAAAATGCCATAATCTTCAGTTTGTTTTCTTTTTTGTCACCAATCCTCATGCACACACGCACAAACAAGTGCACAGAGAAAAACAATAGAACGACATAGATACAGACAGAGAAATAACCGATATGAGAAAAACAAAAAAGAAAAGTAAACGAGTACAATTGCAATTGTATGGAAAAAAAAACATGAGCGAATATGAGAACGAGAGATAAATAGACAGTTAACAACAAGCAACAATAATATTTAAAAAAAAGAAAAAGAAAAAAAAAGAAATACATGTTACGATAAAATATCAACTTCAATATCTTCATCGCATTTTGTCAATTCAAGTACTTGATGATGTTGAGCATTAAATAAACCAGATCGATGTTCTTTAGCTGCTTGTCGTTGTTCTTTACGTTGACGTAATTTTAATGCTTTTTCAATACGCTGTGATAATGGATCACTATTATTTGATGATAATGATGAATAACCATCACTTTCATCGTTCATTGAACCACCACCAATTAAATTAAATTTAATTATATTTCTAATACGTCTATATTTATCATCATTCATACCAGAAAAATCTAAAATAAATTCTGTTTGATGTGGTAATAATTGTGGTCCATCAGGTTGTAATATTCGTATGATTTCTAATTGTTCACGTCGACCAAGTTGTTCATTTATAATACGTGTTAAATCTTCTGTTGCTAACGTTTGTTCATTTATTGTCATTTTCGACCATAATTTTGTTTGTAATTGTCGTCCATTCGTATTTGTACGATTTTTTGGTTGTGGTTTAGGTGATGATGGTGCACTACGTTGTGGTGGTGGAGCTTGTAATGGACTAGAAGTATTAGCAAGTTGTTGAAATAATGAACGTGTATCATCTAATTCTGAAAAATAATCATTCTCAAAAAAATCCGATAAATCTGATGTACCAATAAAATCTGCTTCAATACCAAGAAATAAATCATCAACAACACTTGAATTATTACAAGCACCAATATCCATATATAAATCATCTGAACAAACTGACATTGATTTTGATGATGTTAATTGATTAGCAGATGATTGAACTGTATTTAATGTAGCTGTTAGATCTGGCTGTGAATTACTTCTTGATATAGATGCAAGCATATCGGAATTTAAAAATTGTTGTATCGATGTTTGACCATTTGTTAATGTTAATGGTGGTGGTGGAGTTTGTAGTGGAGGTGGACTAAACCAATTTGTTGGTGATGTTGATTGATAGTTATTTGTAAATGGAGTTGTCGAATATGAATTATTACGCATACGAAAAGATGATATAGATGGATAGGTTGTATTACCACCACCATCTATATTACCTAATGACGATTGCATCATCTGAAATTAAAATTAAAATTAATTTTATAATAATAGATAAAAACAATAAAAAATAAATAAAAAAAATAAATTTGTTTATTTTATTCAATAAATTATATTCTAATTTAGTGGAATCTTCTTGTTGAATGAGATATTTAAAAAAAAGACAAAGCTTTTATATAATTAATTTATACAATTCAATTATCTGTTACATAGATTCATGCTGTTCATCGAAAATTCCGAGTTAGTTTGGTGTGAAAATAAATAAATCAATTGAATAAATATTCAAGCGTAGTGAACTTTGTCTTTAGTGTATTTTGTACAAATCATGCTTTATTTTCAATAAATGACGTCGGAAAAAAAAAGAAATTTGCACGTCTTTTACGCCATTTGGCATTTCACGTGTTCTTGTCTAATAACTATTCTATCATATGAAAGAGAACAGAAAAGAGTGAAATATAATTATTGGATGAAAATCTATTTCGTTTTTGAAAACAGAAATTTTCACATAGATGTAATATACCTCGAATTATTTCGTAAAGAAACAACTTTGATAGCATTTTTTTTTTTCGAAATTAAAAAGAAACAAACTTACGACTGCTGATAATTCTTATTAACAAATATTTTCCAATTCGTGATAAATATATAATATTATTTTAAAGTATCACTAAATTATATATATTATGATGCATATCCAACAAACATATTGCTTTATAGTATATATCAACTACTAACTAGTCATGAATTTAATATATATTTAAACAATATACTTAGTAACTTAAGATATAGAATGATATATATATAGTTTTTTTGTTGTTAGTTTCGAATATTCACACAGAATAATAATCAAATGATGATTCAGTTATTGATGATGATTAATTATGACCACATTTTATTGTTAATTAATATTCTAGAAAATAGCAAACAAATTATTTTTATTGATAAAATTTTATGACAATTGTTTACAATCAATTGCTATTAAAATCTATGAGAAATATTCTACTGAAGTCATCAATAGCATTAAAGATACCTATAACATAGATTGTTTGATGGATATTTACAATAAAATTATCTGTATGGATCATTATTAGGATTAATAATAAAAAATAAGGTAAAGATAGAAATATTTCTATTTTTTACTTCTTTTTTTTCCTATTCTTAATGATAATTTATCGATCTGATAGCCTCTAGAAAAACTCAATGTCGTTTTGTTTGTACATTCATTCGAAGAAAATGCAATGAAATATTAATATGATCATAGATTAACTAGAAAATAGACATTGTTAATAAGTTATTTTATTTGGTATCTATGATCTAACAGATAAATAAATTGAAATAAAATATTGTTTACATAAACAACTAGAAGAATATTTAATATACAATATACAAATATTAAATTCATGTTTTACTTCTTTTTATATATAAATAAATGAACAAGAGTAAGATGGAATAGAACAAATTGATCTCAAGGAGAAAAATAACGCAAAAGATGAAGAATTCTTTTTTTCTCTTTTGTTGTTGTTTTGTGTTTTCGATTTTTTCATTGGTTCGATGAAAGAACTTATCTTTTCATGACTTGCAAACGACTCTGTTAACACAGATGTCGTATATGATCATAGTGATAGAATTGGAGCACTAACTTATAGATTCTTAGACCCGGATGAAAAACTAATGTCCGTTCAAAAGACAAAGATGTTCGACGCATCGAATCGTATATTACAAATTTTTTTCTACCGATTATTTAAGGTATTCAATCGATCTTTTCTAAAAAAGCGTAATCTGTGAGGTGATCATAATAGATTCAGTTTTCAGAAGTATAAGTATTCGAGTGAGCATTTTTGGCCGATTCTTCAAGTAATAACTGTGAAAAAAATCATATTTTTTTACTTTTTCTTCGGTCCATTATTTCAACGCGACTTCATCTCGTCTTTCAAATGATGAAAACCGCAGCATTCTACCACGTTTCTATCAAAAGTTATTCAAGAAATACTCACTCGTCGTTGTTTTTAAATGAGAATTTATTAATTACTTTTGATTGTTGTGTAATCATTTAATTGTCTTTTAAAATAGTAATGATAAGACAAATCAAAGTCAATGTTGTTGAATGACAATTTAAAGCAAAAGCGGAATATAGAAATCAACGAAGAATAGTATACCTGTATTTCATCTACTTTGCGACATACGATGCCCTCTAGCAGTAGATTCAATAGTTCGATATCTTCCATACCACTAATACTAGCTATAGCTCTGGAAAGAAGGCCAATCTGAAGTCGAGTTCTTTCTCTTTTCAAACACCAGTGATGGAACTGATTATATCGGTACGGATTTCAAACCGGAGGGTATCTTATTAATATTTTTGTATTTAGTGTCTCATTAATCATGTGTAATGAAACTTTGTTGAAAGTCGACAATGTCAAAATATCGCTATCCACAGATGAAATAGTACGATCACTAGTCATTTCAGTTTCAATATGGATTTCAGACCGATTTCGTCTTTGATGTACACTCAAATTAACCAAATGCTAGAGCAGACGTATGTCACAACTCACGAGAGAACCTCTTCAGCTGTCCCCTTCTGATTTCAATGAATTATCCCCTGTAGATACTACATAGTGTTCTAATATAAATTCTAAAATAATTGCGATTTCTATTGATGTTTTATTAAGCCTTCAAATTTTGATGTGAAACTTTGTGCACATAGAAAATTCAACAAGACTAACTTTCATAAAAGATTCAGAAGTTTTAAACAAAGCCTCTTTGACATATGAAACTTTCAAGATAAACATCGTTTTCCATGGATAGCGTATATAAGCATGCATTTCTTGAAAGTTTCATGTCTAGAAGAGACTCACTTTAATATTTGTGAATTTCTTCATAGAAGCTAGTCTAGTGGCAACGAATATGGAAAAGATTAGATCGAACGTCAAATTCAAGGCAACAAAAAAGAAAAAAAAAATTATTTTATTTTACCATACTGTTGGATTTTTCGACGTAAGAAAGTGGTGACTTGAAATGAATCATTAAAAATAACAACTAATCATATATACATATATAATACTAAGTGTCTTAGTAGCATAAATCTCATATTCTTGACATGAAGACTACTTATATAAACCTTGTCATCAGTAACATTATAGGATAAACACCACTTGTAATATAATTTAATTGGACTTATTTCTTTATGTAAGGATTTTGCTGAAAGCTTTGTTTTCTACTCAACGGAATCACCTTTCATGTTTTGTTACGTGCCACTATTTAAAAAAAATCTTATTGACTTTGCCTCTATTGAAATAACAGAGAAAAAAAAGATTAATTATGTGTTTAAATTTTTGTCGTACATGTGTTCTGTGGTGCCTGTTAGTAAATACATACGGCATTGCAACAGTAGTGTTTTTTTTTAAAATAATTCAGAAACAAGTAAATCAACTGTTTATTTTGTTCAACTTTTGCAGTAATGATACTGACTATTAACGCAACCTCATGTCTTCAATTCATTTATCAAAATTTTTGCTATAGTCATTTTTGCTGAACGAGTTCATTATCCTGACAACGGCACTATGTAATGATTCCGATTCATATTCATCCATCCAATTTTTATGGAACTCACATATATGTTCGAAAAAAATAGTGAGTGCAAGTTTTAAGGTCAAGTTTTCGCGGCTCCCTCCCTCCTCATTATAGATATTTAGAAACGGAAGCTCCAATTACAGACCTTAACAGTCGAGAATAGCCATAAGATTTTCTAGATTTCTTTTTTTGGAAAATTGATCAAGTTATAGTTTTGAAAAATAATGAACATCCTTATTTGTAAGTTGATTAATATATATATATATAGATGATAGTGCGTAAGATCTGCTGTAGATAGATCATGAATATGTAAAACAGACTTATTTTGTCAATTAGTTCAAGGATAATAATAATGAGAATGTTAAATTAAGGCAAACATATTTTACGAAAACTGAAAAATAATAAGCGAATAGGAACAATGCAAAACAAAAAATAGGATCCTCATAGAAAAAAATTAAAAAATTCTGTTCGAAATGCAGAAGTTAGAGAGATCATTATTCTGAACATCGATTATCCGGTAAAACAGCTTTAGTCTACGAGAGATTTATCACTTTACGTATTTTGTATTCGTTTAATGAGGTTAGCGAGCATATGCGAGTTGCACATTCTAGCTCCAATGGGGCTGTGCTAGCAAGCTTTATTTGATTAGATCAAATAGTCAAATATGACGTGATACAAGGTCGAAGTGTTAAGTGATTGTCGCATAATGGATATATTTTTCGATTTTAGATATGTAGATACATTACTATGAAAATGTGGCTTGGCATTACTGTAATGAAATCTGACGATATGTGTACGCGATGCCAGTTTTTGCTTTTTAATGTTGTTGATAAAAGGTTGCAGGCAATTATTGATATAATAGTGATGATCGAGATATTGTCTTCATACCACATGATGAATTAAAAGAGAGCTAATACTTTAAAAACGTATGCAGAAAAAAACAGTTTTTTGCTCCCGTCGACTACATCGAACAACAGTTGGCTAAGACTCTCTGCCTACTCTTCATGCAGTATTTAATTTCCTTTATGCACTCGAGTGATAATGTTTTTCAACCTTGGGTAGTCAGAAATAATACCCATAATGGTGCTATGACTTCAACCAGTTGCCATTAATATTTCATCAAGTGTCAGATGTGTAGTGATTAAAATTTTCTTACTTCATCTGAAATAAGAGTATCAGGTTATCATTCAAGTTATTCATACAACTTTGGACACTGATTATTGATGATATATTAAAGAAATATAGAGTATTGTTGACATTACAATTGAACATAAGAACAAATTGTGTTTAAGCTTTCTGTAGAGTAAAATAATACTGAAACTACTACTTGTGGATCACTCTAAGTAAGATAACGTGAGAACGATTGTGTAATTTATTGATCATACATCATGCATATGTTTCGTTTATGACTTCTGAACTTTGTATCATTTGTTAGAAGATTACAATTGATT